CGGGACACCTGGCGCTGAGGCGTCACCAGACGCAACACTGGGGAGGGGGGGGGGCGAGGGATCAGCTCGGAGAGGGCGAAACAGTTTCAAACGAACTACTCATCAAGCATTCGTGAAGTAACATTGGACCAGAACGCAGGTGAGCTTGGTGAGCAAAAAGAAAAAATACCGCAAAAAATAGCCAGACTTCATTTCGGTCATGTGACGGCCATTTCGGTTCGTAGGGTCACTACATCCAGCCTGATGAAATAATAATAATAAAGTTTTTTTTTTAAAGATCACCCCGTGCCGCGCGCTCACCGTTGTCGCTGTGTGACGTCACTACCAGCTGATTGTCGGGCGACACGGTCACGTGACGTATGGCCATACCCAGGCGCGGCACGAACGATGGTTTCTCGTCGTGGGTCTGCCAGAAGACCAGCACGCACTCACCGCCGCCGGAGACCAGGTATGTGCCTGTGGAGGGAGGGAAAACGTCAGTTGGAAGCATGAAAGATCGTCGGGGATAGAAGACAGAGGCTCAAGGGGCGCCATGTGAGGAAAACTATTATACCAAGAACATCGCCGAGCGAAGGGAAGATCGCTGGTGTGTGTGCGGTAAAGTGGAAAAAGGGCAAAACACCCCAATGAGAAGTATGTAATAAATAATCAGACAAAATAAAAAAGATGCAATTATACACCAAAACATAAATTTCTATTTTTCACTCCGAATTCAGTCCGACCTGCCGTGCCAGACTGAATTCATTTTCTGTACGGTGTATTAACGATTGGAACGGGCTTCCAGCAGAAATTGTACATTCGCCCTCAGTCAACGTCTTTAAGAACAGGCTGGATGCGCACTGGGAGCCGATCTGGTACTCCACTCCTGTAACAGACTGAGTACTAAGTGAAGTTATGGAAATCGGCGAGAACGGGCCCTACAGGACATCGTGCCTCTTGCCCCGATAACACGAAGATGAAGATGAAGATGAAGAGATCTAACCAATTGTGATATCTTCTGCTTCCTAGGTGCTACATATGCCTGCTCTGCACCAGTCCAAACACTCTTTCACCACTCAGCCGTTCCCTCCCATCCAACACCAACACACACTCACCCTCCGGCGAGAATCCGACGCTGGGCACGGGCAGGGTGTGCCAGTGGAGCACGGAGCGGACGGGCGGCTGGTCTCCGGCCAGCAGCCGGCGCCAGAGCAGCAGGCGGCCGCTGGCGTCACCGGCCGCCACCGTCGCCTCGCTCGGGTGACACGCCACGCACGTGAACGGACGGTCGGCGTCCGTGCGGAGACTGAGGGAGGAGGAGGGAGAGGTGAGAACGGGGCGGCGTTACACGAGATCATGTCAACTCACTGCTCCACATTCGACGGACTATTCACAAGCTAACTCACAAGGACATTCTCACACATCCTACCCCACCTGCTGTATTTCTGTTTGGCGGCCGAATCTTTATTCCAGAGGTTTCTGACGAGCAGCTCGTTGCGTTTGACGACGGCGGCCACCAGTCGGCCCTGCCAGCCGCAGTCCACCTCCCAGCGGCCGCCGGCGCCGCGGCGCACCTCCCGCAGCACCGGCCGCGCCGGCCGGCCCTCCTTCTTGGTCGACTGACGCAGCAGGTCGGCCAGCGGCTCCTCAGTACCCGGCCGGCGGACCAGCAGCAGCGGCTTCGACCAGCCGGCCGGCCGCACCAGGCCCGCCACCGTGCTGCCCTCTGTCAGCAGATGGGAGAGGCTCCACTTCTGCAGCCCACCGCCAGGGGCGCCAGTCAGTCAGGTGTCAGGAGGAAATGCAATCTGATATATTAACATTTCCTGAGTGTTTCTCTGTTGTGCTCTGTGCTCTGTTGAAAGTGGAAATATGTGAATGAAGCAGCTGGCAGCAACATAGTGCCGGCAGTGATTGCTGATCAGAAATGTGTGATGAGCAACCCTTGAACATGTATTTCTTCTTCTTTGTGGGTTAGGGCGCGCAGCCGTCAGGCCCTAGCGTCCAACTGAATATGTATTTAATTCCACTCCCTTCTTTGGTAAAAAATGAGCTACCAGTGTTCACAATTCAAAGCCAAACACCCACCTTGAGGGAGGTGGCCAGGACAAAGTCCCACAGGATCATGGAGCCAGAAGCATCAGCTGTTATTAGCTGCCTGGGATTGGATGGCTCTGGTGAAAGGGCCACAATGGGGTGCGCCCCCTCCAGACTGCCGGCCAACTCTCCCGTGGCCACATTGTAGGCATGCACCACTCCATCATTGATGACAAACAGGAACCTGGAATATGCATGTCAATTCCAATCAGTCTGATGGATATATACTTAATCAGAAGGCATAATACAATCAAAAACAAGGATAAATGAAAGATACAAGCAAGATTATACAAGAGCGCATCCTGATCCACTTTAAGCCCTGGCCTAGGCACACAAGGACAAACTGATGACAGAACAGGACTGATGTGACTACACATTTACTTGTGTGCACTCTTATGTTAATCAGGATAAATAGTAAAAACAACATGAATAATTAATACCTACAGTCTTGAATAAATTTCATTCGGAGAACTCAAAATGCCTTTTCTTCATTCAAATTGAGAAAAATTCAGGTTAATATCTATGAAAAAATCAAATATTGAAATAGGATAAAATACTGAGCAAAAAGTAGCATGACCAGTCATAAAATGAGCACTTACTTAGAATCAGCACAAAATGATGGCTTATCATCCACAATGCTTCCTCCAGCTACCTTTACTTCTTCCAGCTCTTTAACCCGCTCAGTTATGTCATCTTTCACGGTACTTGTACTTTCAGCCGTGTCAGAAGTCTTCATGGTCATAGTACAAATGTTTCAGATCAGAACAATAATATTCAATAAAAATATCAAAACAACATTCCGACCCCTGACCCACACCAACAACTCCCCGCGTGCTCCGCGTACAGTGCACGTACGTCGCTCGTGCGCAGTTTATGAAACATTTTCTAGGGACTTTTGTTTAGTACGCGTTCGTAATAAGATATTTCAGATATTTTTCATCTCTTTTGAGTTTTGAGTTTCGCGTTTAATTAAATGAAAATATGTATAATGAAATAGTCAAACATTCATAATTTAGGCACAAATGTTAAAATTTTCACATATTGAAGCGATGCAACTAAGAGTATTGACATAAGCTTCAGAGGAAATATCATAAAAATATGATCTATGGGGAAAATATGGGAAAAGTTCTCTATATACAATGGAAAATATAATGGAAGCCAGCCAAGCCAAAGAAGTGATTTTGGGGTGGGACTAAATGCTTACTTCGAAATCTAAGCTACGTTGCGGCATTGGCGGTTATGTGCGGCGTGTATGCCGCATGATTAGTAAGAGGCGACCACTAAATTAAAGACTCAAACGCTCCGACCGGTTCTCAATGAATAACACTGCATACCAAAAATGCCAACCGCTCTCGTCATAAGATATTCAGCTTTAAATAACTAGGTTATCTACATCATCATTTTGAACCAAATTAATACTTTCAACTTAACTCACTCATTCCTTCCTTTGTTGTCTCTAAACAGTCGTTCGATTGTCTGGAAATCGTATGCTAAATCCCGTACCTGTATGCGACTGGTGCATATAAAGGCCGATAAAAGAATTTGAATAGGCTCTGGCATGCGATTTCCTGGCTACCCAAAAAAGTCTGTTTCAGTCTTGCTATCAAAACATGACCTCGCCCGCACAGGGGGGGGGGGGGGGGTTGATGCAACCCCCCTAAGGTTTTTCGCGAATAACTCGCTTAAAAAGCGGCTGATCGCGACGAAACTTTCAGTACCCTCGCATTGATCAATTTAACACCCATCCTGAAAATTTCATGACCCTGACCCAAATGACCTTTGACCTGTGACCTACTTTTCGAGACCATGTTTGGCCGGAACCGCGATTCAGCGTATGTCGGCTCGCATTAGCAGCGCGTTTGCAGTCTTTTCGTGGTTTCAAGCGTTCAAACATGTGATATGATGTTGCCCCCATGCATTAGGGTGGGTGTCAAGGTCACCTGAAGGTCAGGTCAGGTCATTGACCTTTGGTGACCTCGGTTCACTTTTTCGAGTTTGACATGTTTCTAGGTCAGTTTTTTCGAGCTGAATTCGAATTAAGCAACCACATGAACGTTTACAAAGTAGTTTTGGTGCCTTCGTAACATGTTACGAGGCTGTCAGAGGCGGTTGACACCTACTACAAATACCTGGCAGGACCTCTACTGGTTGACCTGACCTGACCTAACCCGACCTGGCCTAAATGAATGAAGACATCATCTGCGATCAAAACTAGCATGATGTTCGTGATCAGCACCCCGAAAAACCCCATAGCAGCCACACTACGACGTTCTAACAGGTCCCAATTTTCCCGCCTTTTGGGTCATTGACCTGACCTGGAAGGTCAACCGATAACCTAGGACCTTAAAATTGGGTATCATCGGCTTTCTCTCGTCACGGGCAACACGCTCGTTTTTTCCGCGAAGCTCTAGCTTGATCAGGAGCGAAACGGCAAGGGGTTATACCTTATACGCTCGCGGCTGAGTATTAATTTGGTTCAAAACAATGATGTAGATAAGTTAGTTATTTAAATCTAAATATCCTATGACGAGAGCGATGGACATTTTTGGTATGCAGTGTTATCCATTGAAAACAGGTCGAAGCTATTGAATTTTTAATTTAGTGGTCGCCGCTTACTAATCATGCGGCATACACGCCGCACATAACCGCCAATGCCGCAACGCAGCTTAGATTTCGAAGTAAGCATTTAGTCTCACCCGTGATTTTGGCCAGAGTTCTAGGTGACAGGCAAATGACGTCATCTAGGTAAATCCTCTGATTATCTCTTCTGAAGCTGATCATAATTAAATTCAAACAGCGCTTGATCGAATATCCATGCAATTTATTTATTCACTGCAACGCATATCTTCTTTTCCCATTTGATTTCCTATTTGATTTCATGACCTTGAGGGCCCTAGTAGCGTAAACATTGGATTGTCCAATCACAGTGCGCCAAATCCTCGTAGAGTTTGTGTGAAGAACGATTCGTCGGATTCGTCGTTCCTTGGCCGAGTTTCGTCATAGGCGCTGGGCCGTCGGGATAGAGTTTGTGTTGGGCTGTTATTTATTTTCGAACATTTTTGTTCGGGTTTCGGTGACGGTGTCCTGTCGGCTTTCGGTGGCAAACAGGTTCGTCAATACTTTGTCCGTTTACTAAGGTATCAGCTCTTTGTCCTGCTTCAGGTGTCTTGTCACTTGGTTACACATTACACAAATCAAAATACATTCAGATTATATATCTATTCCTGTGCTTTGTATGTGTCATGACATTTACCTTTGTTATGCTACTAACTGAAGTTAGGCTAGCTGCAATTATGCCCATTGGAAATGCATACATTAGGTAGGTTGCATTTCAATTATTAAATTACCGGTAACGGTAGCGCTGGCTTACACCTTCTCCGCCGGCGCCAAGGTTGAAACTAATCAAGGTCACGTTTATTGATGTCCGTGAAGTTAGCGTCAGCAACAGCAACGAATACAGCTTCGGATTCAGAATCACTTCAAAAACTCATATCAGGTCAATTGGGGGACGGGGAGCAAGAATATGACCTTTATTTAGCCCTAGCTCATACCCCTTACCCTTTAATTGACCCTTAAAGGAAGGGGCGCATCAAAAGTGCCTCAAGGGTTCGTCTGATCGCCAAAATAAGGGCGGTAATCGATTTCTTGGGTCAATATCTAGCCGCGCCCTTGGGTTCCAGATGTGTGCATCTTACCCCTTACCCCTTTATCGGCCCTTAAAGGAAGGGGCGCGTCAAAAGTGCCTCAAGGGTTCGTCTGATCGCCAAAATAAGGGCGGCAATCGATTCCTCGGGTGAATATCTAGCCGCAGCCTTGGGTTCCAGATGTGTGCACCCTACCCCTTACCCCTTTATCGGCCCTTAAAGGAAGGGGCGGGTCAAAAGTGCCTCAAGGGTTCGTCTGATCGCCAAAATAAGGGCGGCAATCGATTTCTTGGGTGAATATCTAGCCGCAGCGTCGGGTTCCAGATGTGTGCATCTTACCCCTTACCTCTTAATCGGCCCTTAAAGGAAGGGGCGCGTCAAAAGTGCCTCAAGGATTCGTCTGATCGCCAAAATAAGGGCGGCAATCGATTCCTCGGGTCAATATCTAGCCGCAGCCTCGGGTTCCAGATGTGTGCATCCTATCCCTTACCCCTTAATCAGCCCTTAAAGGAAGGGGCGCGTCAAAAGTGCCTCAAGCGTTTGTCTGATCGCCAAAATAAGGGTCGCAATCGATTCCTCGGGTCAATATCTATCCGCAGCCTCGGGTTCAAGATGTGTGCATCTTACCCCTTACCCCTTTATCGGCCTTTTTGAACCTGAGGCTGCGGCTAGATATTGACCCGATGAATCGATTGCGACACTTATTTCGGCGATCAGACGAACCCTTGAGGCACTTTTGACGCGTCCCTTCCTTTAAGGGCCGATTAAGGGGTAAGATGCACACATCTGGAACCCGAGGCTGCGGCTAGATATTGACCCGAGGAATCGATTGCCGCCCTTATTTTGGCGATCAGACGAACCCTTGAGGCACTTTTGACGCGCCCCTTCCTTTAAGGGCCGATTAAGGGGTAAGAGGTAAGATGCACACATCTGGAACCCGAGGCTGCGGGTAGATATTGACCCGAGGAATCGAGTGCCGCCCTTATTTTGGCGATCAGACGAACTCTTGAGGCACTTTTGACGCGCCCCTTCTTTTAAGGGCCGATTAAGGGGTAAGGGTAAGATGCACACACCTGGATCGCGAGGCTGCGGCTAGATATTGACCCGAGGAATCGATTGCCGCCCTTATTTTGGCGACCAGACGAACCCTTGAGGTACTTTTGACGCGCCCCTTCTTTTAAGGGCCGATTAAGGGGTAAGGGGTAAGATGCACACATCTGGAACCCGAGGCTGCGGCTAGATATTGACCCGATGAATCGATTGCGACACTTATTTTGGCGATCAGACGAACCCTTGAGGTACTTTTACCGCGCCCCTTGCCTTAAGGGCCGATTAAGGGGTAAGGGGTAAGATGCACACATCTGGAACCCGAGGCTGCGGATAGATATTCACCCGAGGAATCGATTGCCGCCCTTATTTTGGCGATCAGACGAACCCTTGAGGCACTTTTGACACGCCCCTTCCTTTAATGGCCGATTAAGGGGTAAGGGGTAAGATGCACACATCTGGAACCCGAGGCTGCGGCTAGATATTGACCCTAGGAATCGATTGCCGCCCTTTTTTTGGCGATCAGACGAACCCTTGAGACACTTTTGACACGCCCCTTCCTTTAAGGGCCGATTAAGGGGTAAGGGGTAAGATGCACACATCTGGAACCTGAGGCTGCGGCTGTATATTGACCCGAGGAATCGATTGCCGCCCTTATTTTGGCGATCATACGAACCCTTGAGGCACTTTTGACGCGCCCCTTCCTTTAAGGGCCGATTAAGGGGTAAGGGGTAAGATGCACACATCTGGAACCCGAGGCTGCGGGTAGATATTGACCCGATGAATCGATTGCCGCCCTTATTTTGGCGATCAGACGAACTCTTGAGGCACTTTTGACGCGCCCCTTCTTTTAAGGGCCGATTAAGGGGTAAGGGGTAAGATGCACACATCTGGAACCCGAGGCTGCGGCTAGATATTGACATTGACCCGAGGAATCGATTACCGCCCTTATTTTGGCGATGAGACGAACCCTTGAGGCACTTTTGACGCGCCCCTTCCTTTAAGGGCCGATTAAAGGGTAAGGGGTAAGAGCTAGGGCTAAATAAAGGTCATATTCTTGCTCCCCGTCCCCCAATTGACCTGATATGAGTTTTTGAAGCGATTCTGAATCCGACGCTGCATTCGTTGCTGTTGCTGACGCTAACTTCACGGACATCAATAAACGTGACCTTGATTAGTTTCAACCTTGGCGCCGGCGGAGAAGGTGTAAGCCAGCGCTACCGTTACCAATTACCTGCTCGTCAGCATCCATGTTCATTCTTTTTTTGCCTTGAAACCTACAAAGTGACATAAAATGATGTTTTCAGTTCACAGCAGTCAGCCATGCTGGATACACCAGACATCACTGTTTTGATCAAGGCTCCAAACCAGAAGCACGACGACCATCCTGTGCAGTGCCGAGGGACTTGGACAGTGCAGCAGCTCAAAGGACATTTGGCTGAAAACTACCCCACAAAACCAGTAAGTGCTAGGTTCCCTGAAAGTTTTACTGTATTTATTGAATTCAACATACAACATACATGTAACATGTGGTCAAAAACTAGGGTAAAATCAACAGAAACAGCCTAAGGCCATGCGGGGCAAGGCAATCCCAACTTGACTTTGGGTTATGGATCTGCAAGATCTTGACAACTTTAACTGTGGCCAGGAACTGCCATTTCTGACCTAGGTACTCTGACTCTGCAGCCCTGCTTGCGAGTCAGCATAGTGCCTCACAAAATCCAGGATTCTGTGTATGGCAGTGTGTTGGTATTGTTTATCTAACGATATGTTTGTGCCGGCAGACGCTCCGGGAGCAGCGTCTGATCTACTCGGGCCAGCTGCTGACTGACGACAGCCGGCTGGGGGACGTCCTGCGCCGCCATGACGACGACTCCACCGTCCACACCGTACACCTGGTGTGCGCGCCGCCGGCCGAACCCGCCCCCTCACACGCCGGGGGCGGCCTCCGACACAGGCGCCAGCAGCAGCAGCAGGCGGCGCCGCAGCCCCAGCCTCAACAGCCGCCACAGCCGCAGGTCAGTCTCGGCGCACAGCCTCTGGCCGGCGGTGGTCCAGAGTCAGTATCGTGGCTCCCGGTGTGTGTCCAGTGTGTGTTCGTTATCGCTTCCGGTGTTGGGTCCGCGGTAATACCCCCATGACCTTCCGTGGATCCTTCCATCCAGAGAGCGATGTGTGTGACGTCGAAATCATCGGTCTTGCTCGATTCCGTAGCTAGCTAACGCAAAATTGGAGTGTTTCGCTTCGAACTAAACAACCTACAACCAAACTCAATTTTTAATCGTACGCGACATGCCTAGTGCCTACCGATTTTTATTTTATCGTAAGCCTGGCACCGCCAGTCGGCAGAGACATAATCTGTTTCTGCCGCGGCCGGTTCCCAAGGCGCCGGACTAACCCAGCTGATATTTCTCACGGGCCTATGTTATCTTCGTGCTGTGACGTGCATTCGTGCGTAGTGAGTGGGCTGATGCATGAGAAAATGACGAAATATGACGGAGCGGCGTGCCGCGGATGCGCCGATCGCTGGCTGTCATGGGCTCGATGTAACGAGCGCCACAAGCGGCTATTTGACTAATTATAGCCAACACTTGTTGACATTTGCAGCCAGTCTAAATAGCATAGGGGTCCCTCCGGCTTTTAGTACGCAAATCTGATTTGCAATTACGGGAAACTCGCGGAGATTTTCGCTTATATTTAGCGACCTTGGAGCAGCAATGTAGTTATTGCTACGCATATGACTATCTTCTAGGCGTACGGTATCAATGTGTATCAGTTTCAGTGCGGTATCAGATCAGTGCGCCGATAACTTTCGAGTCAATTACGGGGCGAATTTCTACTCGACTCTGTCTCGGTTTCTGCGCTAACAAAGCGCATCGCAGACTAATGCTGGTTGCTATGGCCGGGGCACTGTATGTGCCGAGGAAGGGGGAGGGGTGGGTAGGTCAGGTGTTTGAATAGCGGCCAGTCACGATAAGTGGTCACGGTATGTGACTGCTGGAGCTAGTGAAACTGGGGCGAGAGTGTTCGGTACACAAATCGGCTTCGCTTTCTAACCCCGCTACAAGCTGAAACGGGGATGGTTTCCCTATCGTTATCTGCACTGATTCGGTCGGTTTGGACATCTGGTAGCGACTATTTGTGGAGTTTCTACTTTTGCATCGTGATTTCCGCGATGAAGTAGGATAACTCCGAATAAAGGGCGTGAGACTCTGTATCAGGTAATTGTTTGTTATAACAACGATAGCTACTGCCTTGATCCATCTGATCATTCGGGGATCATACTCATATCGCACGTATTATTTCATTTTCATTCTGCACCTTTTGGCATAGACTTTTGTCAGAAAGTGCATATAGCACTGCGTTATACCGTGCGTATAGCTTTAATCGCTCCGCTACCTACCACCATTCTATCCCCATCACAAGTCATCTCCCCTCCATATTTAGTTGTTCGCGAACACTCGCTAACCTCCCATCCCCACACAGTGCAGTAGTGAGTTCTAATCCACCGTATCCAACCAACCGCAGCTACTGGACCGTTCCCGTACGGCTGAACCCACTCACTTTTAATGCCACGGTGACCCAGATTGGTGCTGGCGGGGCGCCGGCCTCCCGTGACCGGCCCAGTCCCGATTTCCCCGGGCTATCTCCGAGAGAGAGGTGGAGAAGAGGAGAATGGGGTTCAGGGGCTTCGACGGGGGCGTGACGGTTATGTTGCTACCTGCAGCTGTTCAAGAGCATGTTTCGAGGCTAGGTTCTCGTGTGATGCGGTCTCTAAAGTGGATATTTGTGATCATGTCCATGCGATTTTCCCGATAATGTCCTGTTTTGTGCAACTGCGCAGTTAGTATCCAGCTGTGTGTTGACATTTGCTAGGCTCTGCAGCTGTTGTGGTCGTCTGGCCTTATCAGCTGTGCACCGCTGGCCGAATGCCTCTCCCGTCATGACATGGTGCGCAGGCCGCGGCCGTGGCCTACCGTCAGCCGTCACGGCCGGGCCGCGCTGCCCTCCGTCCGTGTCCGCTGACCTTGCCTGCTGGCCGGGTTCACGGCGCGCTGCGTCATACCCTCCCCTCCCCCTCCCCTGCCCCCGGCGGAGCGACCCGTTTCGTCACAGCTGATTGTTTCCCACCGCGCCCGCCAGGCGGCTCTAGCTCCCGGCCCGACTCAGAGCTGACTGTTTACCGTCGTCTCCGCCAGGTGGCAGCGGCGGCGGCGCCGCCGGCCGGCGCGCTGCCGCACCAGTACGACCTGGGCCAGTGGGCGCAGCAGCTGCACGGCGGCCACCACCAGCTGCTGGCCATGCAGCACATGTACTCGCAGTACTGGGCCCAGTACGCCCAGATGATGCAGTACGGACCAGGCTCGATGCCGCTCATCTGGCCCCAGCCGACTCCGGTACCGGCCGCCGGGTCGGGACACCTCCCGGCCGCCGCCGCCGCCGCCCACACCCCGCCGCCCGCCGCCCCCGCCCCCGCCCCGGCGGCCGCCCAGCAGCCGCCGCCCGCCCCCGCGCCGGCCGCCAACAACAATCAGAACGTTCGGCTCAATGCGCAGGGTGAGTTGACCGAATGACCTTATTGTGCGGAGATTATGACCGCTTGGTAGAACCCGACCCCAATCAAAATGTAATTCTTGATGAGGTTCCCAGAATAGCAGGCCAATCTTCTGTAACGGCGTTAAGTACGTACTGTGTTATTCGCAAATGCTTACTTTTTGCTGCCGAAAGGCCTTGTTTTATTTTTTATTCCTCGCTACCGTCAAACGATGTCTGCCGGCTTTCCGCGCCCACCTATCGACAGTCCCTGAACTTCAAGTTCCCGTTGTGTCCGCCAGGTGGTGTGATGGAGGAGGAGGAGGACGCCGGCGGCCAGTGGGACTGGCTCGACTGGCTGCACGGCCTGGCCCGCCTCTCCGTGCTCTTCTTGGCCGTCTACTTCTACGCCTCTGTCTCCCGGCTAGTGCTCGTGCTCGGCTTCGGATTCCTGGCCTATCTGTGAGTAAAGAGTGGGGAAGGGTGGTATGGGGGAGGGGAGGGGATAAGTTGGAGGATGAGGAGAGAGGGTGGGGGTCCTGGCCCGTCTGTGATGATCGGGCGAACGGCGGTTTCGTCGAGGAAAACAGCATCTGCCATCTTTGTATGGATTTCGTTAAGTTGATCGTTTGGCCTCCGAAACACAATATGACCTCCGTTATGCGTAAGTGCCATGACTTTTATTAGCCGCGTCATGGCGAAAAAAGACATTTCTCAGTAATGTCCACTCCATGCCCATCTGCTGGCTGGTAATTCCTCACGGTGTAATTTCTCCACCCAATATGCTGGACATCTATTTAGCTGGGCTTAACTTGTTACAGACCACACTTCCATAAAGCCAAGTAATAAACCATTTAGCTACGGGGCACGACCTTTAACGGGGTGCTCATGACACCAAACGGAAACGGTACGGTACATTTGTACCGCCTGGGAGTCGCGGTCACGTACCGACTTACAGCACTTCTGAGTGAGTTATTTCTCCATGAAAGGCCAGTCGTCAGCGGCGGTGTGCGACTCGCCGGTCCGCTGAGACTGGCAGAAACCTGAGTCGGACGAGCTGTCTACAGAAATTACCCGCCGCTCTGAAATGTTGGCCTTTAAATGTCAGTCAGGTTTGTAGTTCATATTGAGAAGGTTTCCGTCACTGAAAATCACTGAACGAATATGCTTCATGGTTTCCCGGAACGACCTCTGTTTCGACATTGTTTCATCATTTTATGAGTTTCGAGAAGTTGAAAATTGTCGGATGGAAGTGCAGTTACGTAAGTAGTTAGTAAGTACCGTGCTCATTGATATTATAGGACCATTTCAGGCAAGTCCAATATCTCGAAGAGAAAATTGCTGCTCAAAGTTAACTAGTACATGTCGTAATGAACGAATAATATGTTGGTGCTTAATTAATGACTTAAGAACTGACGGTTACAAAGGTAGGACAAAATGGTAACAGCAATGCGTACTGCGTGGTTATTCCATAGCAAAGTCCACATCCTTTTTACCCAGAAGCTTCCACGATGTGAACATTGGCCCCGATTTACCCGTCTTCATTGACATCAAACAGCTGTATAATTGTCCGCCCACACATCCCGCTCTTCTGCCAACACAGTCCGTTCAATCATCACGACAAGCCGCCCCGCCCGCCTCTCGAGCCGTCTATCTCGTCCTCATGACGAATCAATAAGCTCCCACGGAGCACGCGAGCGCATCCCTTCTTATCGTATATTTACGTTTGTCTCATTACGCCGTACCGAGACGATCGATCGACTACTGTCTTGATGTCCCGACACCGACCAGGATATGATACCGAGCAGGGACGGCTTCTGGTGAGACCATACACCCGCAGATCATGTTGTGACTGCATGTAATCGGTAGTGTGGTCGGTATCTTGTGTCGACGGGTCTCTCTCTCTCTCTCTCTCTCTCTCTCTCTCTCTCTCTCTCTCTCTCTCTCTCTCTCTCTCTCTCTCTCTCTCTCTCTCTCTCTCTCTCTCTCTCTCTCTCTCTCTTTCCGTCTGTCTCCCTTTTCCTTCCACCATTCCCTCTTGGACTGAGGGTGCGCACCTATCTTTGTGCGCAGTATCCCTCTCTCATTGGCGTCCCCACGGCCCCCCGGTCTTCGTTCTCCATTCATTTGCCGGCCGCCGGCGGTCCCTGCGGCCGTCTCGGCCGGTCACCTCGGAGCCGCTCGGCGCTGCGCGGCACGGCGCGCGCGATGATTGCTCGCCGGGCGGGGGCGGGGGTGGGGGCGGTCGTTCTGGACACTAACTGCGCGCTGTGTGGGGGTGGCGGATGGTGGACGGGTATCGACCTGGGGACCGACCGACCGGCCGTCCGCCGCGGCGGTGATACACTCCCCCGGGCTGGGTAAGGGTGGGAACAGGGAGAACAGGACACCGTGGTATACACCAGATCCAGCCGCTGCAAACATAATGAGAAGGACAATAATTCGGGGGATTGCGATCATACTATCCTGCTCCCGTAAATAGTCCGTTGATTGGCATGAGCGTCTGTGTAACATTATCGTCATCATTAACGGTGTCACAAAAGTAGTCCAGGGTGACTGCGTCGGTGTCATATTCCACTGAATTACCAAAGTTATGCTCCTGCTGCTAATTTGCAAGAGACTCTTCGTTAGGGCTTTTGTTGTTAGTATTCGAAGTTTGGTGAGATATGAGCTCAGGCTGAGCTATATGCGTCACAGTGGTTGTCTCACACGATACCTTACCTGCCTAATTGCATGTTATGGAGGTGGGGTAGGGGTAGTAATCAGCAAGATTGGACGGCGTTCTTCTGTGTCTTGGGTCCGTGTTGCGCCACTCGCACCCTGTATAGCACCGGTGACTGAATAGCCCAGTGACCAGTAGCTGTTGACCTTTCAGCTCCGGGGTCAACCGTGCTTGCCAAGCGATTATCCCCTGCGGCGGGCATATAGACACTAGTACCTACATCCTCGTCTGTTTGTCCCTGCGCCGACTGACGGCAGTTTGGGGCTGCCTCTATGAGCTGCCGTCGGACACGGTCCGTCTATTTTTGGCTCCTGCAGCGCTGTGTATCACCCCGCCCTTCCCTCGCTCGCCTCCCACGCACGGCACACGTCAGCCGGTCGGCTGGCGCGCGGCGATCACACTCGAGGGAGCGCCTGAACGGCTCGAACGAACGCCATCCCATTACAGTCGGCTCGGTGGACGGGAAAATCGACCGCCGGTGTGTGCGGGGGATGCGGGAATGGGCGCCCGGAATGGGCGGAATGGATGCGGGAATGGGCGGAATGGGCGGAGTGGATGCGAGAATGGGTGTCGGGGTGGGCGGCGCTGTTTTTAGTGTTTGTGAGATGGTGTTTGGATGCTGAAAGACGCGCTAGAAGCCTGTTTGTGGTAGTTGAGAGTTGGCTGTTGTATTCTGGTAAAATGCGTGTACCTATAGTATTGATGAGATTTACAAAAAAAAAACTTGGCTGTTGTTTCGTGGTAGGGTACAACCACGGCTAGCCTTTTGAGTGGGTGATGCAATTATTAGCTACGCCTTCCCCTATGTGTTGATCACAGTCGTACCTGTTTTGTCTCCAAATAGCTTTGTTGTGTCCACTAGTCCTGCATTTTTTATCGCCGCTAGCTCGGTATTATTTGTGTCGAGTCCACTGACGTCTATCCGTTCCCCGGCGGTGGCCGGCCAATGGTGCTGTTTTTTACTGCGATGTGACGCCGGCTGACCCGCCAGAGTGCGTGAGCTGCGTGCGTGTCGCCCCTCCCTCCCCTCCCGTCCCCTCCCGTCACGTTCTAGTCCGCTCGACAACGGTGGTGATTCGGCGACCCGCCCACACAGTCAACTGTCCGGGGCTTACCCCTGCTGTCGGCAAGGCCTCAGATCCGTCAGACGGCAGAGTGACTCCGCTGCGGTCTTATCGCCTGTGTGGGTGGAAATGGAATTCGCTCTGAGCGCCGTATAATGCTGCAGACTTAAGCGTCATAGCTTTAGCACCATCATCATCATTGATGGAAATCGTGGCGTGCCGAGCTCCGCTTCTGGTGCTGACGCGGTATGCGTGCCGTTTTCCGATTGAATTCCAATCGCGGGGAGATGGTTATACTCTCAACTCATCAGCGTCGCAGTGCGATAACCGCTGCTGTTCTGAACGATGTTTTTTTTTTCTTCTCAAACGGTCAGCCGTATGCTGTTATCACTCAACTTCAGCTGTTTAGTCGGCTAAAGTCAGCCCTTTAGCTGACTGCGCTAGGTAGTTCACCTCCAAGCACAGGCAGTCAGCGTACCATGATCCAAGCGTGACAACAGAAGTGCCGATGACCAACACAGTCCGGGCGCCCCTACAAAGTACTGTAAAAACATAATTATCAAACACTGGAAAAGCGGATAGTGCATCGTTTAAACCCGGTACTTTCAGCCGCACACACCCGCTGACCGCCGTGCTCTCTCCTCAGGTACAACCAGGGCTACTTCCAGCCGGCCCGGGTCGCCCCACCACCCGCTCCGGCTCCGGCTCCTGCTGCGGCTCCGGCTCCAGCTCCGGCTCCGGCTCCGGCGGCTCAGCCTGGAGGAGAGGACGGTGGGGACGCCGCTCAGCCTCCCCAGCGGGAGGACGGGCAGGAGGAACGACGGGAGGACCGCCGGGAGGACGGAGAGCTCCGTGTCAGCGAGGAGCTGCGACGGGTGAGGAATGGGGGACGGCAGAGTGGGACGGTGGATGTTCTAACCTGTACTGTCCCTCCCTGCCCTGCTCGCCGTGCCTGCCCTGCTCGTCATCGGTCATTCCCGCCCTGGATGGTGGATGGGTGGGGGCGAGTTTTGGAGTACGAGCTGGGATATTTTGGGTGCGGCAGTTCAGTAGTGTATAATGGAAGTTCAGGATCGTGAAAAGTTGAACATTCTCATGTTGTGACCTTAATAGATTCAAATGCGTTTGTTCGCTGAACTGCTGATGTTGATCTAAAGTCTTTTCATGATGGGAACATAACTTTGTATATTTATGGTACCGATAGTGCTTTTCCGGGTCATCTCATACAGGCTGCATCTCTGGGCTAATGTATCTTCAGTCGCTGTGAAACATACAGCCGCGTTCCTGGAACCCCTCAGGCATTAACGTCTTTCGAGTTTGAGATGCATCGATGCCCATTTCAATAGGGGCCTCTGTTCCATATATAAAGCCTGATATTGAAACGAGAAATCTTCCTCGGACATTAGCCTGGTAATTAATTCCGGTGAGTCTGTCTCGAGGAGCTCTATTCCCGGGCGGGGTCTGACCTTCGCCCGGTGACCTCCGACCGCTCCCGGCTGTCCGAGACGTTATGTTATACGACCGGAGGTTGGGACACCGCCGACGGGACGTGACATGACCTCCAAAGACACCGCTTACCGCCCTTCCTGGAGGCAGAACGTTGATCGGACGTGACACTCGGATCTTGCTGAAGGAGTTGTCAAGTCAAATACCGCCTGCCCCATCCAAACAACTCCGCTAATTCAACGCTGATGTGATTGTGTAACAATCACATTGTTTTACCCGTCACTGGAGATTTTCCTGCACTGTTTTTATCTGGTACTAGCACTGGATAAAATGGATGGTCGACCAAAAACTTGCACTGTCCTTCCCCGTCCTTCTTTGCCCTCTCCTTAGTCCTTTCCTGTCTAATCATTCCCTGTCTGCCTTACCCTGCCCTGCCTTGCTCCTCTCCCACTCATTCCATGCCCTTCCCTGCCTCTGCCCTGCCCTGATGTATGTGCCCTGTTCCCCTAGGTGATGGAGCAGATGGGCGTGGAGCCGCCGCAGCTGGAGAACCGGCCGCACCCCTTCACACTGGCCTGGACCTTCTTCATATCATTCTTCGCCTCACTGATACCAGACCGGATCGAACAGTGACGCCGCCCCCTGTACTCCCACCTACACTGAGTGTAAATTCGCTGTACGCGCCCGTAGCATAGCTCTGACACTAGGTTAGCGAACGCAACATAATTGTTTATTACGGCAAGGCGTTGTCCTGATATTTAACGTGGACAAACCGCTCCTGGCCCACCCCGGAGAGCGGTTGGGTAGTCCGATGGGTGTGTAAAATCTCCCGGCGGTAGTCTACCACCGGTAGTCGGTATCATGAGTTCTATTTTTGTGCCAGATGATTTTAGTTGCTCGTCTGTTGCGGCGGCGACGGAAGGTTTGTGTGATAGCTAGTCGGAGATCGTCCGGACGGGCCGGGTCGGCCCGGAAATGGTCCGCGGCAGGTGGTGCTTTCTGAGAGAGAGAGAGAAACTTGCCGACAGCGCGGGGGGAAACGGACGAGACTTTCGGAGCGAGTCGGCTCGTCAGGGCGGCGTGTGGGCTGCTTTAGGGAGCGGCGGAAACCCCGACTTACGCCGTGCCGTTACTGCTTGGGGAAATAGTTGCGGGCGTGTTGCTATTTAATAATCTAGATAAACTATATGTTCTATTACGATATCAGCTGACGACGACGTTCCGAGAAGATTTTGACCGTGTGCCGTGCTCTTAGAAAATATCAGCCGGGAATATCACAGTTGTCTTTTAGGGTTCTGTGCCCCTGGGTGTGTCCATTTTGAACGGCGAATGTTTCTCCATCCCTCTTTCCTCTTCCTCTGGCCAGTGTTCCACCTCTCCCCGGCTGCCCTCTCCCGGACCGGTATCTGTCTGTCTGTCTGTCTGTGTGTGTGTCTGGGGATGCGGCCGCCGCCTCGCCGGCCGCCCGCCGTCTGTAGTTGGGCGTCTCCCTGCGGACGGCAGCGCGGCTCGGCGGGGCAGGCCCACCAGCGCACTTCTGGCTGTTCAATACACACGACTCAACACCACTGTCGTGGAAAATCAGTGTTTCTCTTGCCTTTCAACGAACTGAGTAGAGTCTGCTGAAACGACGCCTTTTGTGACGAAATACGCGATAGCGTGATAGTGCTTGTTCAGTAGTGTCGACCAGAGATAATCCTATACGACGCTGCTGAGGTTGGCGTCCGATTATGGTCGACTTTCGCCGTGTGGCCTCTATCCTGCGTCAACGGACGTTTTGTGGACGTGTCATTTATCGATGTCGCCTGTCAGTTTAGAATCGCTGGTGCGGACTTTTGGAAATGAGGTTAATCCGCGGTGAGCCTGATGTCGACCATGCCGTGCGTTGGAAGAGGCGGCAAGATGTCTACAACCGTTGTGCTGTGGGGTAGCGAAATGTGCCGAGTGGGGCAGGGACCAAGTTCAATGTGGTATATCAGTGTAGTTTATGTGGGTTATGTAAGCGGGCGATGAGTAGGGCTAGGCGTATTGTGGCTGGTGGGTGCGTGTGTACACACTGTTACTGCGGTATTGGTACTTGTAGCAGGACCAGTGGCAGTACTCTATAAAAACGCCGCTGATGGGGCGCTAATGGCTGTGTCGTATGACGCTATTGAGTCGCTGGCGCTGCAATCCGAGCCCCGAGGGATGGTCAGAAACTTTAACATTTCCATCATCGCATACCGCGAACACGTATCGCGTTTTTTCGTTACCTACCGGACTGGCCTCGCCCACTAATTAAATCTCAGTTTATTCTTTGTCAAATGCCGCACCCAGAGTCAAAGTGAAACACCTCTATCACTGGGTTTGCTTGCAAGCTCCTCATGAGGTTCGTGCTATGGTTGTGAGCCTAACGTCCGTGGTTCGAAACAGCGCCCTGGTGGAGAAGCTATCTTGATGGGATCTGTCCAACCTTACCGGCCGTGGGCGTTTCTGCATTGACAGTGATGACGTCATTATCGAAAGTATTTCAGAAACGTGATAGACGCTCTCAGTGGGGCTCTTTTATACAGGCTTATCGGCGACAGCCACTAAATCACAGCGGGCGAGGAAAACTTCAAATGCTGGTACACTGAAAAGTCTGAGAAAATATGAAGAAGACATATGGACAAGAGGGTGAAATGAGCTCTGTTGAACGCCGGCGTTTTATCACATTTCTTTACATTTTTTTTCTGTGACCAAAACGTGAGCGGCTAAACGACTCTCCATTTAGTTCTACACGTCCCAGTTTAAATCAAATCTGACAATAGAGATCCGGTAGACGGTACCACAGACAGCGCTGCTCATTTTGGTTTTGTAGAATGAATGCTGCGTGCGAACGGGTAAAGAAACGGATAAACCCGTGCACGAGACTTGATACATCCGAGCATAATCTGATGACGAACCGACTCTGAATCTACGAGAGGTCGTGTCCTATTCGGTTCTGCTACCAGGCGGATGCAGCTCCCTTTCAGAAGATTGGCGAAGAAGATTAAACGAAACATGTGGTCTCCTTGGCTACAGGAGCGTCGGTCGGCTCGTAAACCGGCGTGCTGCCCGTAACTCGTCACGTGGCGGGTTTGTGACCGTATTAACTCCCCCAGGGAGACGTTCTGAGCGGCGCGGGTCGGATCGGCCGACCCCGGAATCATAACACGCAGCAAAGGTCGCCGCTTCTGATTTTATGCCTCATCGCCTCCACCTTGGGTGACTCGTGCCGTGCTGGTGGCGCAATCTTTTTTTACATCGTCTGTAGCATGGCGGATATATTACGAGATATTGATGTTCAATTTGTTGTCCGCAAACGGACGATTTTTTCACTTGGTTTCGTTCAGTAAGGTAGGTAAAGTTTGCGTATCCTACATCGTTGGGCCTATCATCAATGTCCCTTTTACGAATAAATGCTTTTTCAAATTTATTTTGATAGCGGTCATGGGCTAGTCGAATTCATTTCTCAACAATACCCGTCGCTGGCTGACCCCCGCTAATGCCCGCCGCCCGGAATGGCCAGGCGCACTGCTGTGCGGTACAGCCTACATTCAGGCGTAACTGCTACTGCTATCTATGAGGAACTTCACACACCTCGCGGTGCAGCCTACATTCAGGCGCTAACCACTGCTGCCATCTATCGACAGATGTATGAAGCCGTGCTCTTCACTGTTGTGGAGCGGAAAGGGCTGGATAAAGATGTGTGGAATGGATCCTCATTCCAATAAAACGGGAAAGGAAATACAATGACTTGCGCAAGGTGCTATGCTCCAGCATATACAATTTCGCACCGCTATGTGTGGTAAAAACACATATGTTTCCTTAAATATGCATTGCGTCTCATCTTATCGTCTCATCGTTTGTGAGATGATAGGTATCCCACAATTCATTTTCAAATTGTGCAAATCTAAAAAATTGGAATGAGAGTTTTAACGAGACCAAGCTTTTCCGAAAAGCATCTTGTCTGCACTCAGTTGTGATTGCGAAATTATCGTTCCTAAATGTCAACGCACCACAAGAACTGCCAATAAACACGTGTTGTGTGCAGAGACGATGGGAAAACTGCATTCTGGCCATCGAGCGTGTAGATAATTGCCACAAGTTCCTGGCAGCCAGAATACAACGAATGAACGAACTCGGCACGTCTGCCATCTCCAGTATCGATTCTCTCCCCACTCGAAGCCATTCTCGCACAAATCCTGGGCCGTCGACCGGCTGCCGTCAAATCAAAGTCGCCAATCGGGGGCTTAGAGACGACACACACCGTCTGGTGGCCGCGTGCTGAGCCGATCGAGCCACTCTCAGAGGTCACAGGTCACCGGCCGGCGACTCACGCCGTGCCGGTACTCGTCAGTGAGGAGAGCTCTGCTGGGTGCTGACGACCTCTGATTTAGTATTTTTATAATATTTTTATGTGACATTCTAGGTGCACTTGCAAAATATAAATATGTTCGTAGAACTATCGGAAACGTCGAGCCATCTATCAACTTTAGAGCATGATCACACATATAAAAATGCATCATTATCTGATTCTGACAATATTGGGGAGGATATTCATTAGGTGAGCATGTGCAAAAATCATCCTCATTTCTCTTTGCTCAGCAGCGGCGATAAGTGCAAAGGCAATCCACCTGAAAATCCATTATACGATCCTCAATGAAAGCGGTGAAGTCTGCCGCCTGACTGAAGTTCTCGGACCGGGCTGCTATTTCTGACCACGAGCTGTGCCATCTGCTGTCGTTACACAGAGCTGAAGGGTGGCTCTCAGCCTCCAACTCTGCTCCCGTGTCCACGGCAGGTGTCCGAAAATACACGTCCAGAGGACAGCTGCGCAGTGAGGGACCTTTTATAAATACCCACCGACCTGTCATTCCGCACACATAATAATGCCATGTAGCGTGTTACAAATGGGCTATTAACTTTTTCAGAACCCTAGTCTTTTATGTGATTGGTTTCATTTGGTCTAAAGTTACCGTACAGCGCAAGAAAATATGCGTAAAAAATAAATTGGTTTTAGATGTCATATGCAACGTGTTTCTACATTCATTACGGTTAAACAAATGTGGTTTGTACGAAGTTTCCTTGCACCTATTTGTGATCTAGTGTAAACCGAAGTTTTGCCATAATTACTCATTACCTGAATGAGTGTTATGAACCAATGTCGAAAATCATTAAGTAGTCACTTATATACAAAAATGGTATGAATATTGGTATACAAGTAACTAAAGTGTATTGCAGTTCATTCATATGTTTCATTTTCACCGATTGATTTCAGATTGAAGCTAAGGAAATCGACGAGAATGGGCCCAACGGGACATTGTGCCTCCCGTCCCGATAACGTAAAGATGAAGATGAAAATGTTTAGATATAGGAAAGCTCGTAGTGATATTCCAATATTTAAAGTTATCCAGTTAAGTCTGTCCACGGTTCAGGAATGCACACAGCGACTCATCAGGACATCAGTTCAGCTGAACAGTGTGGTCGGTGGTCGATGGTCGGTCGATGAGTATCGTTCGACCAGCTGCTTTGAACTGACCCAAGGTCGCACCAGACTGAACCACGGACTGCACCTGCCCAAAGCGCCGGTCGGCCCTCGGTCCTCGAGTCGAGAATAACCAGCGACGGTACTAAACTCTGAACTCCACGAACCGGATAACGGCCGTATATTTGTATCGCCACCATGTCATGACACCTAATTTTGACATTGATCACAGTGGATAATCAGAGCGTTGTATCCCTCAGCTGACCACAAATGTCAATCCACACACGTGACCGTTCGGATGACGTTTTCTTTCGGATAACATTTCCGGATCCATCTTCATTTCCAGCGGGGATATTCCCCCGCTAAATGGTCCTCCGCTCACCATAGATACTACATTTTTCATTACCATGAGATGGAGATCAGGGGCAAGAGCCAGCGACAACACACTCTACAAAATAGTGCGGCTTTATCTGATCTGCTCGCTCCTTTGTCTATGGTCGGCGCGGTTTTCATAGATCACTATATCTCAGCGCGACCAGAAATACTTTCTCAATCAGCCATGACCTTTTTCTTATCGCGTTGGATTTCTGGACAGATCGGTCAGCAATTCTCGTACTCTCGTCCGCCAATACGCTATCTCCATCCCACCCATCTTTTTGTTTTCTATCACTTTTATGTCTTTATTTCTTCGACGGTGTGTTTGCCTGAGATATTCATATCGTTTTTTTATATGAAGATTTCACCTTATGGGTGGCAAGCGACCCACAACACACGCGCTAACCCTTGCAGCCATAACACTTGCCTTTACACGCAAAATAGACACATTCTGTGATTCACTTTAATATCTCGACAGCTTTTGAGCCGGATATGAAAGCATTCTCTCAGTCTTAGCATTTCTCATAACTCCTTCACCCACTGCTTTCATATACTAGCCTCTGTCGTTGGAATACTAAGCACTCAGTCCGGCCTGCGATGCTTCCTTTCGGGAGACATCCCAGTACGAGACACACCCTTTCATTCACCCGTGTTTTCCGTTAGTGTTCGCCAGTCCCGGTGACGTCACTCTGGACTCTGGTGACGTCATAGCGCGGCGGTGCGTCCGGCTGGATGCTGATGAGCTGAGCGGTGGCCGGTACCGTGGCCTCTGTGGGGCTGGGAGGCGCGGCCTGAGAGCGGTACAGAGACCGCTGGTCACCGCCGCCCTCCCGGGCAGCCAGGGCGTTTGATTTCACCTGCACGAAGGAGGGAGATTGTTACAAAGAATAGAAGGAATACGGGATGGAAGACACAGTAAGTTTATAATAAGGCATAAGGCTTATAATAAGGCAGAAAGGTAAGTTTATTAGTTAAGAACTCAAGAGGCCGCTAAGCGCTCTGTAAGCTGGAGCTAGTCGCGACAGTATGCCAGAAACACACGAGAATTTCGGTGCCAATTAGTGGCAGTTGGAATGTGGGCTGCTCAAGGGAAATTAAAGCCATTTATCTCAGATTAGTCTGACCAAGTTGGATTAACTTTCACTTGAGTTCTCTTCGGAAGATGGGAAACTGAAATGAGCCAGGGCTAAGAAATGCGAAAACTTTAATTGGCTACAGTAAAAAGCAAATTTGATACGGGTAAGGAATCCCAAGAGCAGATTGATCGACTCGCCAAAATGAGCTTTGAACACTGACAGGTATCATTTGTAGCATCAGAGAGATGGACCTTATAAATGCATCATTCACGCTCCGGCAACATTGAAAATTAAACTGACAACTGACACTACTTCAGCCTGCCGGACTATCGTGGCGAGGAGATCAGGCGATAGGCGGTGAATTCAAACAGATCAAGATTACTGCCCACAGATCTATGACCACTGACCGCTGACAAACCATTGACCTACCTGCAGCATCAGGCAGACGGAGACCAGGGTGCCGGTGGCGCCCATGCAGGCGGCGGTCAGCGCGGCCAGCTCGGCAGCCGTGACGTCCGAGGCAGCCGTCAGCAGCGCCAGCGGCGGCGGCAGCAGCACCAGCAGCAGCAGGAACGAGCCGGCCGAGGCCAGCAGCAGCAGCGAGAGAATCAGCAGCGGCCGGACGCAGCCGGCCGGCCGGCAGCAGGCGCGCCGCCGGCGCCGGCCGCCCTCCGCCGGCCCCGGCCAGGACGACTGGTCGCACTGGTCCTCCTGCGACACACGAACGCCGGTATTAAATAACATAGTTTCTTTTTTAACGTTTTCAATCAAATAAGAATCTGTGATCTGTAAAATCTATGCATCAAACGATTCACAGATGACATAATCACACTTAGTTGGACCACAAATAATTATCATTGAGGTGTAACCTTCCCTCATGGCTACGAGTGATATTAAATCTCTTAAAATTGTATTGTTTATTGCAATTTCTTGGCATTACGAGTACTCAGGATGTATAGCCGTTCCGGTCCTTTGCTGTTAGAACAGCTTGTGAAGATGTTATAAAGCACTTGGTCATTTCGACTAGTTAGATGGCCGGAATACTCTCCGACTGTCAGGAACTCAGCCCGACTGTTCGATTCCCCTCTCGCCTCCGGCTTTGTGTCCAAATCAGGTCTAACCAAAAGACATTGGATTTGGTTCCTCACGTCTTATTGCCACGATACGTCAAACAAACAGACAAACAAAACTGTGCAATGCAATGACTCGATATGACAATGTGACTCGAATGCGACATGAGCGCAGACGCTACCCGAAAATTGCCTCCTTGAAACCACGGTGAGGCCATGGGTACGAGTTAATTGCCGCCAACATGTAAATAAAATTCCGGTAGCCAAAAGAGGATCATGTTAGAGGCAGGACTGCAATCCCACCTCTAAAGATTTTGGCTGTTCGGCGCAATTTAGTTGGTGGGCTTCGAACAGGACAGTAGTCCCATTCTCAACAGCGTGCAACAATTACGCCGAACACGTTGCCGCGGAGCGAGCTGACAAAGCCGGCACATCAGTCCGACTCCGAGAGCCACACCACACGGACAACGTTCCGGTCCCGCCCCAATCTCCTGCCAGAATGCGCCGCCGCCGCGGCACCGGCCCCACATCGACCGCCGGTCACATGATCTACGGGTCACCAATCAGCGACCGCGCCGCGCGGCGCGGCCGAGCGCCCGCCGGGTAGACTGCGCCGCAGCGCTGCTCGCTGCAGCAGCGGCGGCCAGCCGGACGGCCCGGCGGCCGTAAAGATGTAACAAATACTAACATTTCTCCCCACCAAAATGTGGGAACTCTAAAGTTAACACATTTTCAACAAAAACGCGCACACATTTACAACCAGGCACACTTCACTTCACTGGCCGCACGCGAACTTGGTTGCGGCTGTCGTTGCGGGTTTCGTTATTCCTCCCGCAGCTGACCATGGGTCCCTGGACCGGAGGCCAGCGTCGTCGGCTGCGTCCTCTTCTTCTTTCTCTTCCATAGGCGTGGGAACGCTGGGAAGTGAGGCGGTGCTGCCGGTGGTGCAGGCGCCCTCCAGCTCCGGCTCCACCTCCGTCTTGGGCCGTCGCTCCTCCAGCGGCTCCGAAGACGTCGTCTCTTCGGAGACGGCTGCCGACAGTCTCCCAGCATCGGCGTTGACGGGCACCGTCGGGGCCGCCGGGGCGCTACAGCACTCCATTGGCTCCGGTCCACCCCGCCCACCGCAGTTGATGGGGCGATCTCCCCATGGAGAGACGAGGAGGGTTTTGGACCCAGACTCCGGGCCACAGCCCAGGAGTTGTGTTCGCCCGGCGACAGCCCGGCTCCACCCTCGCCATTTTGCTCTGGGTCATCATTTGACCCCTTGACAGAGAGAGTCATCTCCCCGTCTTTATTTGTCACCGTGTTATGTTGTTCACCGCTCAGGCGAGTCTTTCCTGCATTGAGCAGCTCTGGCTGCGAGGTTCGCGCCTTTGCGGAACCATGATCGGATGATGAGTATTCATCCGTCGTCAATGTCATCGTCATTTCACTGGAACAGCCCACTGGCTCGTTCCAGTGTGACTCAGGCAGCATTCCATCCACTTCCATGGCGGCCTCATTCTGGCCGACCCTGGTCTCAGCCAGACTCCTCACCTGTCTCAGCTGACGACAGTGGGAATTCTGGTGACCGGGCTGATTCAGCGAATCATCACATAAGTACCCGTGCAGTGCGTAGCCAAAGACCGTCTCTATGGCCCGCAGACCCTCTCCGATCTCAATCTGCCTCCACAACACGACACGATACAAATAATCGATGCCGATTAGGAGATCCACCTCCCCACCGTCAAAATCGTCGGCCATCAAATCCGGCAGTCCGGAAGGCCCAGTGGGTGGTGAGGTGGCTGGGAGGGGTGAGCATAAGGTCTCCGTGCTCCACATCTTTAACGTCACGGGATCGCCACCGAACCGACTTCGGAGCGTCACTTCAATTTGTTCGTAAGGTCTGGCTGCTTCCGTCCGTTCCTGGAAGCCGGAACAGGCAAACATGCCCGTACCTGTTACAGGGAGCCCCAGCTCCTTGGCCAGAGAGTCTCTGACATAGGAGGCATCTGAACATCCATCAATGAGGAGGCGTGCCTTTCGCTTGCCTTCCGGTCCCTCGACATCAACCAATGCCGTCAGGAAAAACGTTTCTTTTCCAGAGATGCCTGTGGCATTGTAACATTTGTGGCTCTTTGAACCTGAGTCACCAGCTTCGGCATCGGACTGACCACCCTCAGTTGTGGCCTCCACAGGTAGAAAGGTGGAGCCTCGGGCGACAGCCCGGGCCTCTCTTCACCGATCTCCTCATGTGGGGCAGCATTCGCAAAGTGAAGCAGCGAGTGGTGCTTTCTGCCGCAGATGGCACACGAGTCGCCACGACAGACTCCGGCCACATGACCTGTCCCGAGGCACTGATAGCAGGCTTTGGAAGCCCTGGCGCTCTTCCATCGGGCCTCCACTGAGAGCTCCTGGGACTCAGCGCACTGGTCCAGCCGGTGGGAACCGCGCCCGCAGCATCCGCACACAGGCGCACCGGGCTCTTTCCCTGGGCTCGCCATGCTTTGGGCGTGCAGACTCCTGAAAGCAGACGGCGCCGAGATCGGAGTGTCGGATGAACCGGCACTAGCCTTGCCTCCCCTGGCCGACTCTCGGATTCGCATCTCATGTTGCAGGAATTCCAGAAACTCGGAGAAGTCGCTGCTCTCTCGTCTGGCCCACTCGAGACGCCAGCTTTCTGGGATTTTATCTCTCACGACCGGCAGCATCAGACTGGAGAAACTGTCAGAACTGACTCCCAGGGTCCTCAGCGCGCGAGTATGCGCCATCAAATGATCTATGAGAGACCTTATCGCCGTCAGGTCATTTTGTGGGACCGACGGCATGCTCAACATGTCTCTCATTAAGGTCTCTCGGACCAGGTCATCACGCTTGAAGCGCTCTTTGAGAGCCGAGACAGCTTCAGCGTACCCGCCACCTGAGACGGGTATGCCCTCAACGCATCTCAGAGCCACTCCAGCCAAGTGCGATTTAAGCACCACAAATCTCTGGATATCCGCGAAGCCAGGATTGTTGTGGGCCGAGATTTCAAATAGTTCCCAGAACTCAGACCATTTCATGATGTCCCCGTGAAAAGTAGGAATTTTCACGGAGATGAAAGACTTAAAATCAGCGTTTCCCGACACAGTCGGTGGCTCAGCCCTTTCTTTGGCTTCCTCAGCTTTCTCAAGGCGGGTGAGTAGGCGAGAGCCCAGAAACACCTCATCTTCCATGGTCTGCATGTGACTAGAATCATCTGCCTGCCCTAGCTTGTCGAGCTCAGCCTGAGTGCTGTGCAGCTCGCTCTGCACCTTCTGAACATGGTGGAGCTTGAGGGCAAGTAGGTCTGGGTCCAAGTGTTTACGATCACATTCTCGGTAAATTCGAAGCTCATTGCACAGTTTCGTGGCCTTTGAACGAAGTTTTGTTCTCGTACTCAAAAGATCATCCATGATGTGACACTGACAGGCTTCAAAATTCAACTTAAATTCAAATATAAAGCGGACTGTATGTAAAACAAATTATAGCAAAGCATCTAACCGGACATTAATCCGATCAGGCGGAAAAAGCCTCAATTTCACGAGAGGAGAATTACAGCGAAGTAGGAATCGAAAGTCAGTCCAATCGCCAAGACGGTAGTCCCAACGAAGGCCAGCCCAATCGCCAGGACAGAAGTCCCAACGAAAGCCAGTCCAATCGCCAAGACGGAAGTCCCAACGAAAGAAAAGACGATCCGGCCCCGGTGGACTTATGTCAGGAACTCAGCCCGACTGTTCGATTCCCCTCTCGCCTCCGGCTTTGTGTCCAAATCAGGTCTAACCAAAAGACATTGGATTTGGTTCCTCACGTCTTATTGCCACGATACGTCAAACAAACAGACAAACAAAACTGTGCAATGCAATGACTCGATATGACAATGTGACTCGAATGCGACATGAGCGCAGACGCTACCCGAAAATTGCCTCCTTGAAACCACGGTGAGGCCATGGGTACGAGTTAATTGCCGCCAACATGTAAATAAAATTCCGGTAGCCAAAAGAGGATCATGTTAGAGGCAGGACTGCAATTCCACCTCTAAAGATTTTGGCTGTTCGGCGCAATTTAGTTGGTGGGCTTCGAACAGGACAGTAGTCCCATTCTCAACAGCGTGCAACAATTACGCCGAACACGTTGCCGCGGAGCGAGCTGACAAAGCCGGCACATCAGTCCGAATCCGAGAGCCACACCACACGGACAACGTTCCGGTCCCGCCCGAATCTCCTGCCAGAATGCGCCGCCGCCGCGGCACCGGCCCCACATCGACCGCCGGTCACATGATCTACGGGTCACCAATCAGCGACCGCGCCGCGCGGCGCGGCCGAGCGCCCGCCGGGTAGACTGCGCCGCAGCGCTGCTCGCTGCAGCAGCGGCGGCCAGCCGGACGGCCCGGCGGCCGTAAAGATGTAACAAATACTAACACCGACAATTGGCTGCACTCAGTCCATTGCCGCACAGCAAGGGCACAGACGGTCTTATAGCGGGCATCGCCGAGGAAAACATTATTCTGAGAGATCGTAATAAGATTTCCACGACATATGACCAGCCGCAAGATGAAAGGTGTCGGCCACTGCTGTATCGTGTACCTATTGTTTTCTGCTGTTCCAAGACCTTCAGATTGGTGATCCTTTGCAGTATTGGCAGTGCCTACTTCGATATTAAATGTGGAGGTCAAAGTATTCGCACAGCGCTAAAGCATCCTACAGTGAAAGACGTCAAAAGAGGAATTTCATGACCTCTAGTAACAACATCATGAACTAGTTTAACATGGCCCATGCAGCTATTGAAATGACCCGAGTGGTCCATTACCTCTGTTACTTTTGTGGAATGCTTGTAAGGTTATGACTTATCAAAAACCTCATACTATCCCCATCAAGAGGCGACTGGCTCCGCATACATAACTGTCGTGGCCACATCAAACGGGTGACATATTTATGCAAGCCCATCTCTATTGATCTACGGGTTCACAGAAGCATATAGCCTTACATATGGCATTCAGCAAAAAGCACTTCAATCTGATCTCAGTATCCCTCGGACCAGCCTGAGCGGGCACTCGATCCGACTGTGTTGGTGGCCACAAAGCCAGCTCTTGTCAGACTCCAAACATAACTCAATTACCACTACCACCTGCGCCCGAGTCCCGCGGGAGAACCGGCTCCCGACCAATCAGAGAACGGGATACCTCTTACGTCACAGGTACTACATCGATCAACGCGCCATTGTGGCCGAGCCGGACCTTGATATGCGCTAGAATGATGATAAATGTCGGCAGGTGTTTGGCAGTTATTCATACTTAGCTTCACTAAATTTATCCGTCATTAAATCAGCAGTTATTTTACGTCATTTGCCCACATGCGGGTACCAGCATGGGCGTCAAACCAGCGATCGTGTCAACTTATATCTCGATATGATAATCTTCTTTTTGCTCGAAGAAGAATAAATCGTTTAAAATATATCTTAAAACTATAAAAAAACGATCAAGATAGCGAAAATGAATAATAATTGTAAATGAGGATCATCAAAGTAAAATATTACCTTCTATTGGCACATGAAACTACCTAATTTATAGAAAGAATTAACTACCGAGCTTTTTGAGACTAGCGCATTAACGGCTCATTTAGGTATCTATATCTACGCTATGCTCACTACGGTCAATTCATTAAGAAATTTGCCTCAGACATTGCCGTAGCCAATCCACTGATGCGTTGGACAATACAAACAACATCTATAAAAGTTGTGTTCCCGTCCGTGCGTATAAATAGCCCTTATTGCCAGCATCACGGTGACTGGCCAGCATCACAATCATTTGGCATCGATCAATCAAACTGATTTATCTTCAGCCCCTCTGACCCGATCGGGAAAATACGTGGTCTGTAGAAACATAAACAAACAAAGCAATGTATGTAGTGATGCATGGAATGGATAAATAAGTGGCCCGTATCGCACGGCATAGCACGCCATACCCGTATTAGTGGAACGGTGTCGCATGCAACCCTGTCCTGCCACATGATTGGCTTCTTTGTGAGATAGTACTTTTTAGACTGAAAGCTGTGGACCCTAGCGAAATGCATAAGAACGTGGCGCCCTTACATTGTGATGTGATGACAAAACGTCCCGAATAAAGCTCCCTCCCCTCCCAATTGTACACGTACGTACCTCATATTCATAGAGGTCGAAGTCCACGCTCTCTGGGCCATCGTAAAACTGATGTAGGTAACTTTTGACGCCAAACTCGCAGTTGCCGTTGATTTCGCGTTCCTTCCAGGTAGGTGGCGGCTCTTTGGACTTGAGCTGGGTCATCTGGCCCGCTGGCGAGGGGCCGGCGCCGACCCCACCCTGCCGGAAGAGAGCGCGGGTCAGTGAGGAGAGCTAGAAGTTCCGTGGTACCGACAGCACATTTGTAATCTCGGAATCAGTGTGCAGAGATGTGGTTTTGACTTTCACTATCGAGTCTGATTCGTCATCCCAAGCTAGAGAACAGACTTTCGAAGCACATTAGAGGGAGACCTTAGATGACAGCGCAGTTTGTAGATTGCAGTGCATAAAGGAGACTTGTTTGCTGAAAGCCATGGTATAAGTCTCAGGAAAGCCAGGCCAACAAAGAGCAGGCCAGCTAGTTCAAGGGTAAGGGGAAGGGCTGTACTCCGACGGCAGTCGACGCAATGTCACCGCTGAAGGTCAAAACCCATTTGGAAATTAGTGGAATCGGACCGCGGCACATGCTCTGTGACGGCGGAATGCTCGGGCCACCAGGTGAACTGGTGCGTTCGTCAGCCGTCTGACTCCAAATAAGCTCATTACTGAGCTCCCGGTCCGCCCAATCTGTCTCTAGAGCGGACCTTCTGCGTCTTTTCCGCTGAGCTGGCACTCCAAGCGTCCCCCGCGCGGATTATACCCCCGGAGAGGCTCGGTCAAAGGTCGGGGGGCTCAGCCAGCCCCCGCCCGATGTCCGGGGCACTCGGTCGGAAATTCTCCAGCTAACTAAGGCGGCAACCAACGACCGACCGGCGGCCCGTATTTCGCGGTGGTAGCAGTGCTAATTATTGAAGTTCGGCCCCAAGCTTTCGGCGTGAACTTCAGAGCTTTCCGACACCTGCTCCTGAGACACATGGGACTTACGACTTTTGGCAGTTTGCTCTCCGTGCAATCTTGAAAAGGCGTTCCCTCCAGCCATATCGTTCGGCTGAACTAAAGGGACAATCGGTAAGAAATGTACAGAGAATGTGTTCGTTTATCTACAAATCTTAATTTTTTATAATTACTAAAATTTCATGTTTAAGCTGAACTGCCAGGTCAGATTGGCTTGCTAAGCAAGTCTCCCTGTGCAGTGTGCACCCATCGATTCATAATTTCATACCCACTTTGGCTAATTAAGAGCCAGACCATCGATTTAAAAGTCGCAAGAACATTTTGCCTGGAGCGACGACACCTGTAGCCTTTCTCGCTACAAGCTGATAAACCACTGATTGCCATGTCAGGTAATAAAATCCACTCCAAAACATGGCAAGGGACAGCGAAAAGTTATAGCATGCGAGATTGAGGTCACCGTCAGCTCTACGACTATTAGTTCTTAACTCCTGGGTCGTACTCACTGTCACAAGTCATCCCAAGGTCACGCATTGACAGTTATTAGACAGGATAGGTCCAAACTTTGGCCGGCGAATATCGCTGTCTGATACTAGATGACACGAGCTTTTGTTGAGGTGGTTAGCCACCGTTCAACCAAAGTCAGATGCCATAGATTACTGAAGTAATTAAAGCTCCTCATGTTCAAATTTGGTTTCAAAAAATCTTCCAGTGATCCGAGGGCACGTATCTCCGGCACTTACATCGAGTCGGGTAGTCGATGGTCACTGTCTATAGCTCTTCTGACATTTAACCTGGAATCAAGAGCCTGGGCTGAGCTCTAGCTGGCATATGTGCTGAGCTCTATCCGTCCATTCAAACATTCGAGCTAAATTTGTAGAAAAAATGCGTATCACCTGGCATATGCACAAACACAGCTTATCAGCCTCTCTGCATGGATGCAGAGGTAATTACTCTCGGTTTATACCGGCAACGTAAGCGTCTTAAACCCGCAGCGGTTTAAGACCAGCGTACTCGAACGGAGAAAGAACGCACAATTGTGGAGCTTTTATTATTATACACATGTCTTGTCAATTATCCAAACAGACACCTTTGCAAGCTCATTATCAGTTCCCTTAGCGGAAGTACAGACGCTACGGCAGCGTTGCATGCTGATTGCCGAGCTCTTCTAATGCACTTCCGCGTTGCACTCTTCAAAGGTCAAGCCTGCGGCTGCGGAATAACTTCCAACAAGCCGGAACGACTGAGTGGGCCAGGTAGGACAGGGTGGTGCCGAGGGCCTGCCTCTGACAGAGAGCGGACATTGCGCCACGTTTTCCCGACAGTTCCCTCGACTAAAGTCACTTCAGAGGCAAGGCACTGCGGTCCGGGGTGTCATGATGCCCAAGCAAGCGTCATGAGAGCTAGTATAAACCATAGGGAAGTGGGGTGGGAAGTGAGGCTACCCTGACGTGCGACAAGGAGCTGGGCGGGGATGGTTCAAAACCCATCGGTCGCCGGGGGTCGCGCTGGGCCTCTGATCATCCCGTGATGGAAGATCGATGGCGATCAAAAGGGAAATATGCATGGGAAGAGCCGGACCCATGTGCGGTAGATGACGTGAAATTGACATCATTTGGGCATCATGTGGTGTGACATGCTGCATGAAAAGTGGTGCATTAGAAGAAAAAGTCCTCATTTTCGGCATCAGAGACGATAAGGAGACGTGTTAAGGACCTGAATGCAGTACATTGGAAATGGTTACGTCGTAACACCTAGGCAGGCTCGCGTGATGACAGCCTAAATTGTGTTTTTTTTTTTAAATAGAGTATACGGAAATCCTTAACAATGTGCTGTATAAGAGCCCTAGTATGTCACTTTAATGGGTACCTAAAGTTTTTGTATTGTGCACTGTCTAGTGTCTTTGCTCTTCAGTCGAGCGAGAACTTAAAAACAAAACAAAAAACAAATAGCACTCATACCACTGCCAAAACTATGAATTAATAGTAATTTAGTGAATACTGAACAACACCTCTTAACCCGCGCCCTGGTGGGGTCTGTTTATAACGCGACCTGGTGGGGGGGGGGGGGGCTATTTTTTGCCCCCCCTCGTATCTCCGAAACTACTGGACGGATCCGCAAAATTCAAACGGCGTTCGAAAGGCCTGTCAAATTTGTCGAAGGAAACCAAATTTCATTGACCTCGGGGTCACCGATGACGTCACAGGTCAGGTCAAAGATGAAATGTTTCACCGTTCACGGGTCTTCTAGGGAATGCGCTATAACACCGAGGAAAACGCATTTTGTCGAGAATCAGCGGTAGGGCGTCAGTTGCCTAGTAGATATGTTGCTATTAGAGGTCACTGGCAATACCAGGTCAGGTCACAGGTCAGGTCACCAAGGGTCACAGGTCAGGTCACATGAGCCCAGCTTTACTAAGGTTGTGTGATACATGTTTTATGGCCAATTTTTCATTTCCAACTCAATGTTGTTGGTTATAAGACTATCAGGTACGGCTTAGGTCACTTTCTGGTGAAGTTCAAGTCGAGGTCAGGTCAAGGTCAGGCCAAAAAGGTCAAATTTTAAAGTTGATAGTTTTGCATAAAATGGGTATTGATTCGATGCAGCTCGTCACGGGGAGTCTAATGGTGGTCTTTGTTTTGCGCTACGGGGTCTAGAATGGTTAAAAATTGAGTTTGAAAATTTGACGTCATCAATTTTGAACAGTTTGTTCGCTATAACTTCGCCAAAAAAAAAGAGGTATCAATCTCAAATTTGGTATGTGGATGGAAAGCGGTAAGGACTATCACATATATTCCGGTTTTTGCGAAATTCAAAAAACTTTTTGGATTTTTCGATTATTATTTCCAAAAAAATCTATTTTTTGATTTTGGGGGGTCAAAATCCAAAAATTTCAAAAATCCGAGATAGCAGTTTTATAGCCCTGTCCAATCTACAGCTTTTATGTCTTTATCATTTTTCTGTATTTGCAAAGCTATAGGCCTGACAGCTCTTCCCACGAAACCCTTTTTTGGGTCGAAAACGGCAGAACATGACGTCACTCTGACGTCATTTCCGACCAACCTATCATAGCCTTTGGAAAAATTTTTGGTCACAATGTGTAAAATTGATGTCCGGGAGGGTACTGAAAGTTTGGTGACGATCGGCGCAGCGGTTCTGGAGATATATCGAAAAGTCTGGAGGGGGGGGGCAAAAATAGCCCCCCCCACCAGGTCGCGGGTTAAATGTCAACCTTGAGTGCGCAGCGTTAATAGGCTTTACTTTGATCGTGCTAACGAGAGGGCACGTTTCCTTATGCCGTTGGTAAATGTTCTGCCTGCTCAACTTTAGAGACGTCCAGCGTTACTTCAGCTATATTCTGAATTCAGTGATTGCAAACAGTTACAGAAACTCCCGGGCTCTGGTGAGTCTGTCTTTGTGAAGTGATGTAGTTACTTAGACATTCACGACATTCTGCACCTTAATTACTCCGACAAAGTGCTTCAAATGAATGTTCGCGCCAATTAGCAAACCTTTGAAAAGGTCAAAACTGTATAATCTACATTCCTATGCCAACCCTTATTTGCATGGGACCAGGGACAACATAAAATTCTAGAGTTGCAACATGCATTGCGGCTTAATAAAATATCAAGTAAAACATTAGCAAAGAAGTCGTGACCTGCATTGATTACCGAGACCAGTGACTAGGCTGTAACTGGTCTGCATTTGTTTACATGGGTCAGCCGTTGACCAAGTCAACAGATTACAGCTTTCTGAAACACTGAAAGTTGCCAAGTTGTCAACACAACTTCTTATCACCAAACTAATATTCGGTGCAATAAAAACAAAGGTGATCTTATAAACAGAGTGCGTCGCGAGCCGGGCTGCGTTCCAAGAAGAGAGCGTCTGTGACCGCCTCGAGTCTCTCCGACCCCGCCTGCCGTGCCCAGCTCACCTTCAGCGAGTTCGCGAGGTCATGTCGCCGGCCGGGGCCGCGCTCAGGTCAGGTCAGGTCAGGTCGCCGAGACAGTCTGCCGGGAGCGCCGTGCCTCCGTCCGTCCTCCGTCCGCCGCCGACGAATCAATACTAAAACGGCGGCGCGTCGAGCGAGCATCGGTCGGGGCGGCGTGGGCGGCCAGCGGCTGCGGCTCCGCCCCCTCGACCCCCTACCCGGCGGGGGGGGGGGAGGGCGTACCACGGGGAGTAGTCGGCCGCCGCTGATGGCGGCAGTTTTGGACACAGTAACATCAGGGGTGAGGAACAGAGCGAGGGCAAAATGAGAGAGACTGAGCTTGATGGCATCTTAGGTACTCCAGACACTGGTGGCAGGGGTGGAGAAATATGCCGAGTTGGGGTTGCACGGGCGCAGCAAATTCGCCGCCGCCCTGGCGGTGACCTTGACCTCCGCCGTCTGGTGCGGCTCCAAAGCCAAGCCGGCGCACTGCCGGCGTGGAATTGGGAAGACTCGTGCTACCCCAACTGGCATTTGTCCACCCCTGACTGGTGGAACAATGATGTTCCTTGGGCCGGGATAGCCTTTGGCTTGTTTCCACGGGACTGGGGAGTCTGGTTGCCATCATCAGGATTCAGATACCTGCCCAATTGCCCATCTATGGGAGAGAGAAACACTCCACTATCTATTTATTGCATAGCAGTCTACAAGTAGGTATGTAAATGGAGGCTTTGCGGTAGGAATGTAATTGCGGGGCACTTTTCTTCCAGGCTTCGTATTTCGTAAGCTAAAAATTTTCCCGTTCCTCTTTTCATCCCTCCCTGGGCCTCGTTTCATAAAGCTCTGCCGTAACTTACACCTTTCCGTAATTCACACCCTTTCAAACTACGGAGCGCAAATAAAGCCGTTTCACAAAGCCACAACTGGAATTGTTTACTCGTGTGACGCTCGTGTGACGTCACAGGTTTACGTAAAATCCCCGGATGACTCTACCTAGTATATAGGGCCTTGATTGTTTACACCTCCGTAACTAAGCACATTTGAGTAGTTACCGTAATTTATCAAGCGTCCTACAAATTACAATTTTATGTCAACACTAATTTTTTTACGAGAAATTATAAAACAATTATGTTGAATTTAAATCTTAAAAATTATTTATGAAAAAACAAAATTGATATTGATGACCATCCTTTACTAAAACAACATATTAAAAACAGCAGAAAGCCAGCTAAGCAGAAGTGCCTAACTACGAAAGTGGCGCGGCGCGGCGAATAAACAAAATTCCGATAGTGGCCACAAAAAGCGACTGGTACAGAAGATTTGCAGTTTCTTTTTCTCATTTTGGCTGTTCTTTCTTCCTCACCGGGCTCAACATTATAAAATATATTAAAAACTAGCTTTGAATCTTCACATTAATTCAAAATCACGCAACATTTTTGTGCGTAGTTTACACCACTGATATCAAGAGCTTGATAAAATATTTGGCGTTAATTACGTCGTTTTATGAAACCCAAATGGCATCAATTGGTCCGGAATCGAGCATTTGCCGTAAATGAAGCTCCGTACTTTCGATGGCGTGAATTACTCCGGTCTCCGGCTTTATGAAACCGAATTGGCATCAAATACGCCAAATCTGGCATAATTGACGGAACGCCGTAAGTAATTCCTTTTATGAAACGAGGCCCTGGTCTTCAGCGCCACGGCCACGATCGCAAACGCATCCTTTGCATGGCGACCGGCGCACCGCCTCAGGCGACACACACCAAGCCGGTCACCGGCGCAAAGTGACACCGCTCTCGACCAATCAGCGTTCAGCTCAGCTGACAGACGCGACGGCCGGCCGCGTTGTACTTACACAAAATTGAAATGAAATACGCATGGCTGAAGGTGTTGGGCGGTTAATGAGTGATTAGTGATTGGCGATGTGATAATTGAGTGACAATTATCCGAGCGGTGCGGTGGTGATTTTATTGTGATGATAGTGGAGTGATGAGTGTGCGGATGTCTTGCGAGCGTGGAGAAGTGTTGAAGCTACAAGTGCGAACTTGAACTGTCTGCGACTTGCACTGATGTGGAGGGCCGGACAGACGACTCCTCAGGAGGAGGCCTTCCATCGGAGAGACTGAGACGACTTCGAGATTTCATAGCGGTGATGTACCGATCCGGCCTCGGCCGATGACTTGCGATATGTTTTTGTATGACGTATTTGATTGTCAACAATGAATAGGCCAAGCAAGACGGGTTGGGTCGGCAGGGAGCCCGGTTCCCCAACAATCGAAAAGTCACAAATCTCAAGTCAGAGCTGCCAGTGGGCAGTGGAAGAGCTTTTGCCCACCCATCCCTCTTCCTGTCTCTCTTTCCCTCTCTCTGTCTCTGCCTCTGGCCCTGCCGTCTCAGTCTGCCTCTCCCTCTGCTTCGGCCTCTGCCTCTGTCCCCCTCTCCCTCCGCTTCCCGTTCCCTCTACTCTCTCTGCTCTGTTTCTACGTATCCACCGGCACCCGTGGCCGTATGCATTCTCTCCGGTCATGCCGGAGGGTTGAGGGAATGCTCAGCTTAGGAGCAGCCCTCACCGGTTGGCTTGGTGTGGTGAACACTCACCACTGACAACCACCTCGGAACGGGAAAGGATGATCGGTCAAAGATGATCGGTCAAGCGTCGCAATATTCTGAGGATGAAAGAGGGCGGATGCCCCTCCCCCCGCTTGTGATACGGTTCTTGACTTACCCTTCATTTGCCAATTAATTTGTAAATATATAAATGCAATAAGTTGCCTGGTTTGTTGGTGTCATCATCACATTATTTCTTTCAATTTCAATGGTCATTTAATATGTTATCCCTCGCTAGGCTCGTTTAGCTACATTCTAATCGCTATATCATTGGGCACCGGTCAGCCCCTTCAAATAATTTTTCATTAGTTGATCCATGAGATGTTTATTTCCTCGTACATTTATTGAGAGCGTGGGACGTTTCGAGTTTCACATTTGAAAAGGAAACTGAGGAGGAAAAATAAATTATTGAGGAAATTAGAATCCCTTGCATTCAGGGCACTACTCGCAACGGTGAGTGGACCGCCAACCATCTACACCGACCATTTGCCGACCAGTTACAGTAGTCATGCCGACCAATATTTTTCATTTTGGCTTCTTTCAAGTGCCAGTCTTATGCGCGACATTTTCCAAAGCTAGCTTTCAAAAGGCAATGCTCTACCATTTTCTGGACAAAAGCTGGCTCATTACACGGTGACTCCCGGAAGTCATTAAATCGGTCTTCCTGTTTTATTGGTTGGGGGCGGCGCTCGGCGGGCCACAGTGTGGCGCTCATAACCTCATCTGCCGTGCGGCGCGGTCGTCAGAGACGCGGCGGCGGGACCGGCGCGCTGCCCCCGCGGGCACCTGTTCATCTAGCGACGGGCCGGCCGCGACGCCCACACGGCCGTCAGGCGATCGATCTAGGCCGCGCCGCGCCGCGAGCCGGCCGGTCAGAGGTTGACGCTCCTGGGCCGGCCCGCGCGCGATGAGGGCACCAGCCGCGTGTTGCCTTGCGCCCGGAGTGGTGTCTCCAGGTGTCCCCCGGGGTGGCACTCTCTCTGCCGCCCGCCCGCCGTCACTGGTGTGACGTTTCACACTGTGACGGCTGTGACGGAGCTTGCGTGACGGGAGGACGCAGCTGCGAGCCGTCTCGATAGACAGGTGACACTCGCGCAGCGCGTGTCTCTCCCAGCTCCCAGCTAATGTTATTTGTCCGGAGCAACATGGCTTCCGTAGGGGTCACTCCACGGAGTCTGCTATGCTCGACGCTGTCCAATTCATAATATCGGAAACTGACAAGGGGAAAGTGGTGTCAAATATTGCGGCCGATATCTCCAAAGCCTTTGACAGCGTCGAGCATGGCAGACTCATGGATAAACTAGGTTGGCACGGTGTGGATGGGCACTGGTTTTCCGACTGGCTTGACGGTAGGCGTCAGATAGTAAAAGGGGGGTCACACCCCCTTCCTGTCACCCATGGCGTGGTACAGGGGAGCACTTTGGGAGCAATCTTGTTCTCGTTATTCACTAATGATGTCGCTTCCCATGTCGTTTGCGATAAAATTGTAATGTATGCCGATGACTCGCAATTTCTCAACAGTTTCAACAAAAACGATATGAATAGTCATAAACACAAAGTGGAGGATATGCTCTCCATCGTTCAGAACTGGTATGACCAAAACGGACTTAAAATTAATCCGGCGAAAACCGAAATGATACTTTTTGGCATGCCAAAACAAGGCATTGGTGGCGACATTATGGTGAACTTTGCTGGTGCGCAGGTGCGGCCAGCAATCAAGATGAAAGTGTTAGGCGTCACATTGGACCCCGAGCTGAAGTGGGAGGACCATGTCTCGATGGTGATCCGGAGATCATACGCAACTTTGGCAGGGCTGGCGAAATTTTCCCATTCTTTACCCACCGCAGTAAAAAAGTTCATTGTTGAGGCTCTGGTCTTCCCACATATAGCGTATTGCCTTACTGTTTGGGGTGGGTGCAGGGATGTCCAGCGGAAACGAGTCCAGAAGGTGCTGAATCATGCTGCCCAAATCACTACCTCATCACGGCGCAACGTGCACGTCACACCGTTGTTCGCTGAGCTTAATTGGCAAAATTTAGACAAACTTATTGTGGAAAAGGATATTCTCACGATTCATAAGATTCTAAAAGACGGAACTTATTCCGCAAATCTAAAAACTCTTGTCGAGTCCCGCGCAGACATATCAGCACGCAGCACCCGGGCCGTTGAAGCTGGGCAGCTCCAGCTACCCAAGGTGCGCACTGAACGTGCCCGGCGCTTCTTTACCTACCGCGCCGTGGCTAGCTGGAATGGAGCGCCACCAGCTGTCCGGGAGGCGCCGACCGTTAGGCAGTGCAGGAAGAATATCAGAGAGAATGCGTTAGTGTGATAGCTTGTGCAATGTTTATATCTTAGGTGTCATAGTTCGTTCGCCTTTTAGGTCGTTTAGTACCGCTCCATTTACTGTCATCTTTTACATATATTTCATGTACCTATTGGATGGTGATTTAGCTTACCTCAACATTTTATAGATGCTGTTATCGTGGTATTTTAATATTCTTATCGTGTTCTTGTATTTTACTTTTCTTTTTGTCTTTTTATCTATGCCCGAGATGTGAGATGATTTTCATGTATACTGACACTACAACGTAAAAGCCACTACGTGGATGTTGTAACGAGCCTAAATAAATAAATAAATAAATACGAAAGCTCGCGGCTTGGAGCAATGCAGTCCGACTGGTCGCGTTGGTGACTGATGCGGTCAAAAGTCTTTTACTGAGTTTTGTATTACAATTATCGTCCGAGATTTATGCCTATCAAGTTACAAATCTTTACGTCCTTGCCAGTTGAGAAACGACGGTTAATACCCTCCTCGTTGTTTTCCGAGAACTGAGAAGCCGCCCTACATCCACATGGGAACATCTGTACGCGAAGAGCGATCAGCCGGTATGCCCATATGTAGCGTGAACTGACCCGTATGTGGCGTGAACTGGCCTTTTCACCCATGGCGGGTCCCATTTCGATCAGTGCGCACCGTTCCGCTGAAATGCGTCTGCCCTGGGTGTCGGTGATGAGGCGCATACCACGGGAAAACTGTCCGACATATTTACATACAGGTCCGTCTGATCTCCTGCTGGGTCGACCGTCACATGACCTAATGCCGATAGATGTAGGACGATCTGGATCCGCATATGGATCTCCTTAGAGATCAGGGATGTAGATAAACAGGGCCAGGTATGTGCCGCTAATTTTAGATCACTGGTCCGTCTCTTAACTTAGGAATATCACTCATTTAAATCGATTAACGAGTCAGTTGAGTCGAAGCTGCTGAATACCTATGATGGCTGTGGACTTTTGGTAACGGTAAAGTTAACGATCTGCCCCAAATGGTTTTTTATCAGATTCTTTTAATCTTTTTATCCTTTTCTGTTTATCAAGTCAAGTGTTGGGGTTGCCCACCGATGCTTCTGAGCCACGCGCTACGATACGATGAGCCAAGGATCTTTCAATTCTGCCCGCGTCACTCGACTTGACAGTGAGGTGTCGCCGCTCGCGTTTTTACTAGCATCATCTTAGCGAATCACGCACTCTTGCTTTGGGCGTCCCACATCCACACTGTTGTGATGCGAATATTGAGCGACAATAGCGGTTCTGTATGTTGCCGAGTCGGAGAGGGGACACCTATTTGTGCGGGGCTCACTCGACGGCCGGTGTGTCTGCAGGAAGGTTCGGCAGCGTGCTCTCACCATGAAGCTCTTTAGCGTTATTGTGCTCCTGTGTTTAAGCGTCAGTGTTACGGAAGGTGTGGCGTTCAACTTTCTGCCGTATTACATGACCTTCTTTGAAATCATGCCAATCCTGGAGAAGTGGGAGGTGAGTAAGATATGTTTTATAAGGTGAGTGCTATGTATTTGCACATGCTGATATGTGATATGCTTCTACAAATAGTTACCACTTGTAAAGCGCTAGGCAGTCATGTCTTAGCCAAGGTGCCCATTTCAATTTATCATGGTCTATTGTAATGCATCAAAGCGACATGATGCATCAATATGGCAGATAAATTCGATCGTTGTGAGTTTTATATAGTCGTAAAAACGATGCACAGCAAAGGACGCCATCCAGGTGTTCTCATCTCAAGCTTGACATTCGCGGCACGGGCCCTAACGTTCGTTACTAAGCGCCGCAGCAGATTTGCAATGAGTACTATCAAATCTTATGGGAAAAGCTGCATTACAGCACTTCGTTTCTGATAGGATGGCTTATGAAAGAGCTCCTTTTGTGCGTTGGATAGATTGTTTACAGTGACTGCCACCGTCGAGCAGACTATAACTGAGTGTTATCATCACAAGCATAGTCACTTTTTGCTCGCTCGCAAGAACCGCCATGGGTACGAATAAATAAATACGATGATAGATGTGTATAGGCATCATGCATCGCATATGTTGTGCAATGTGCATTTTTAACTAGCGTTGTACCGATGTACGGTACCACCAGCGTGACAGTGTATGCGGGCATGTTTTTGGCCCTCAGCCTGAGAAGCACTTCCAGCATTTTTCATTGGGTCTTATTTACGAATTCCGAGTATCAGAATGTATATAGCTGCCCTGCGGATAACATTCGATGATCTGTGAGTGTGTGTTTTTATTAGCTGTTTTTATTTCGGCCTGTGACCCGTCAGATCATTTGTCACTATAATATGACCTCTTTTTCATTATTTGATGACCTATGTGACCGTCCATTAGACCTGACCAAAAAGTAACTGTCCAAAGGAGCGTTTCAAATAACGACATGATTCCAGTAAGCGTCACCAAAACGCCTTAATCGCCAACTGAGTAGCGTCATTATACCTCCATGACGCCTCTGGCACATCTTCCTTCGGTAACAACTCTGTAATGCTCTTGACATCGGAGGACATTCTTATCTGCCAGTTGGAGAAGGCGTGTTTTCGAATGTGTCCGGCGAGGTGAAAACAAATTTTAAACACAGATGAGAAACGGATGAGCTCGTAGAGCGTTCTAACGGTACTGGCGTGGTTTGGAACTGCGGGACGTCGCTGTTATCTAACTGGCTCCAAGTAGGTCGTAACCTTAAGTTTATCAGTGTGCTCGGCCTGGTAACAAGAGATGCTCTCGTTTTTTTATGGAAGCTCGAATGTGGAATAGAAATCAATCGATAAATGATGGAGCCATGGTGGAGACAGAATGAAGAAGTTGTTTTTGTCCTTAGCATAATTAGGTTAGCATCTGCTGGTTAGTGATTTTCCGTTCACAGAGTGATATACATAGGTGGCTGTGATGATTTTGGGTTAAAATAAGCAGGAAAACGCTTCTTTATCGCTTATTCCGTCGCTTGCTCCTCATGAAATTACAACTCTCCACTGGACAGTTGAATGGCTATGAAGGCAAGCAGTATTACATTTCATCCTGTAAAAGAATGCAGATGCGTTTGACTGGATCATATAGATGAACAGTTTTGTATGCATTTTCCATTTCGGATGACTAAAAATATGGCTCCACGCCCCTAAATTTTGATCATCACACTCGCAATGTTAGCACTGTATGGGGCTTACGTCAGGCAGAATAGCAAATTGGAAGCGCTGCACCAGTCACATTCAGGCTCCATCTGCTCAGAAAAACAGGCCACGGTGTTTCCCTGGCAGCTGTAAGGCCACTATTTAAAGCCTTTTAATCACCCCAACCTGGCCGCTATTTAATTATGTTTCCTCAGCAGGCGCGCCAAATTGCATCCCATTCAGTCTCGGTTTCCGGCACTCCTCTCTGGGAATACCCTTGGTCGGGGTGGGCGCCCGGCGTCCGACTGGGCCTAAACAGCATCGATAACAGCACAGACATGTTCCTGGAGTAGATGAGCTGGCCCCGGGGCACCCCTACGGGTCGTCAGTCGACAGTAAACGGTCGGAGGCGGTGCGGCCCTCTGACCGGTCTCGCCACTCGCCATCCCGCCGCCCTCCCGTCGCCCCTCGGCCGAGAGCTAGTGCCATGCGCGCCCCACTGGTGCTGGTGTTGGTGCTTCTGGCAGTGATTGGACATCATGTCACCCACGCCGGTCTCCTGTATATGAACATTAACCGGTATCTGACTCAACTGCGCAGCGTCCGTGCTCTGTTCGAAGACTGGGAGGTAAGGACGGATCGGCAGCCTTAGCAGTTTTTCAAAATTGATTACTGATTGTGCTTTTAGGCATGTGCGCAATTTGCTTTTATGACCTAACTTTGATTCTAGGGAGACATCCCGCTTTGTAAAACGGGTTTGTACCGTGTTGATGGGATTAGGCCCTAGTAAGACATGAGACTAATGGCTTACGTCATATTGGCTTTAGGATATGGCTTTATCATGCAGTGGAATATGACTGTTACGTAACATCAACATTGCTGGTTTATTTGCTTCTTATATAATGTGTGATGTTTTTAAGTACGGTACATATGGTTTGCAGTGACATTTTGTTGTTTAAATTGCTTGCAGCTACTGTATAAGCATCACTTCCCGACATGCGTTAGTATTTCCGCCTCGATATGCCGACTACCTATAGGTCCGGGAACATTGCTTAATTTTACCTATACCAAGATATTGCTCTTCACGATAAGGGTAGGTTCTATAAGGTGCCTTCTGACATCTTATTATATCCGATAAACACAAATATTTGACAACTGCTCTCGCTGTAATAATTCCGCTGATACGGCTGTCGTGTATAAAACAAAGCGGTAAAACACATCATTTTAATCATCTTTTGTCGCCGTCTTCACGCACAAGATTTTGGGATGCATGATTGTTAGCTAAAACTCTGTCGCATTGCACCTCATCCGACATAATCACGTTAAGTGACGGATGATACCACAGGTGATGTTGGTAAATGAGATATCTAGATATAACATAACACGGGACAAGGCTTAGCTTCTGAGCTTTTTTTTTGCAAACTCCCATGGGTGTGTCCAATATCCATTCTCACTAGGCCTTGCTTCTCGTGACCCTTGCCATTTATGTATATTTTTGTGCCGAAACTAGCACCAACTGCGCTTGAGGAACATAAACATTTCTAATAAAGTATTATAATAAATTTGTTGCTTTTTCTAAAAGTCTTTTAGCAGCTGCAGTATCAACTCTTGCGTTTTATGGAGGAAGAACGGCACCATTATTTACATAACATTCATAGGCCCACGACTTATAAAAAAAGGAGGAAGAGCACACGTTTAGTGTAGTGCGGACTATCTTCACCTTTTGCATTCACACATCTTCTCACGAAATGCCCTCACACGCATTGCAAATGAGGTAATTGGTATTTATTAACCCGCGCCCTGGTGGGGGGGCTATTTTTTGCCCCCTCCCCCTCCAGACTTTTCGATGTATCTCCAGAACCGCTGCACCGATCGTCACCAAACATGCAGTACCCTCCCGGGCATCAATTTTACACATTGTGACCAATAAATTTTCTAAAGGCTATGATAGGTTGGCCGCAAAAAACGTCAGAGTGACGTCATGTTCTGCCATTTTCGACCCAAAAGAAGGTTTCGCGGGAAGAGCTGTCAGGCCTATAGCTTTGAAGATACAGAAAAACGTTAAAACACGTTAAAGGTGTAGAATTACTATGGCTGCTAAACTGGTATCTGGAAATTTGGAAGCTTTTGGATTTTGACTCCTAAATATCAAAAACATATTTTTTTATAATTGTCGAAAAATCCCAAAAGATTTTCGATTTTAGAAACAACCGAAATATATGTAATAGCCCCTATTAACTTCTATTCACATACCAAATTTTAGATCGATATCTCTTTTTTGGCCAAGTTATAGCGGAGAAACTGTTCAAAATGGATGACGTCAAATTTTCAAACTCAATTTTTAGCAATTCTAGACCACGTCGCGCAAATAATATCACCATTAGACTCGCTGTGAATGTTACGTTGCATCGAGAGTAAAATTAAGTTCATGTGCTGACCCTTGGTGACCTGACCTGTGGCCTGGCCTGGTATTATCAGTGACCTCTAATCTAGCAATACATGTACCTACTAGGCAACTGACGCCCTATCGCTAATTTTCGATAAAATGCGTTTTACTCCATGTTATAACTTATAGCACATTTCCTAGAAGCCCCGTGAACGGTAAAACATTTTATCTTTGACCTGACCTGTGATGTCATCGGTGACCCCGGGGTCAATGGAATTGGATTTCTCTCATCAAATTTGACAGGGCTATCGAACGCCGTTTGAATTTTACGGATCCCTCCAGTAGTTTCGGAGATACGTGGGGGGGGGGGGGGCAAAAATAGCCCATTCCACCAGGTCACGTTATAAACAGACCTCACCAGAGCGCGGGTTTAGTCGTACGATCCATGAAAGAATTGTATTGATGCCAAGGCCATGCAAGTTCATGCATGACAGGTTATAGAGGGTGACAGTTTAAATAATATGTGCAACAGTTATTTCATCAATTAAATTCAGTCACAATTTACTGCCACCCTGTCAGTCACTCTTTAGCTGTCCTGTGCCTCGGGATGATTGCTTGGGGCACAATGGGCGTCGGATTCATGCTCAGTTTCTACGAATAAACTTGACATGACCCAGCACGTGCCACGGTCATGCAAGTCTATTTCAGGTCACCTGAAGTCAACTTCGAGATTGACTTTTTCCCAAAAGTGCAAAAGTGCACCATTCGACGCGTCTTACAAATATAGATGTATCTTATCTTTTTTCTCTGGAGCCGTTTCTCTGGACGTTATTTGGCGAAAACCGATTTATGAATCACCACACGCTGAAATATAAGACGGTTGTGTGTAGATCGTTCTCCGTGCCTTTGATCTCTTTTCTGTACGAGCCTGTGAATGAAATGGCACCCGGAACAGTGTTTGTAATTCTGCGATTACACGTATTGTTTGGTGTGATTATGTTATCGGGGCTGGGATATGCCTTGTTATCTAACACCGTTGGTTCATCACAATTCACAAGCCGAAAGACACCCGTCATCCAAACTAGACCATCACTCTCAGATCCATCTGCCTTACGTCCGTCGCTGTCACTGGGCGGATGTTCCGATCATCTCGTTTTGGGGCACACGCCAAGCCAATAGATCGTTCGTGTCGAAGCACGGCCTTTCCACGGCTGTTTCTCCTAATTTTCTGGCCAATCCGTCGACTCCAGCTGGGCGCGGGCCGCTCAGGGTGATGATTTCCGGGTCAGTGGGTCACATAGCGGTACATGAAGAGATAAGCCAGTTTGGTCACGGGTCGGACCCGTGGCGCGGACTGACCGATCCCCGATCTCTGGCACCTCCGGCCGGGAGAGACGAATCGGTGATTTATTAGGATCGATTATGTAAGGCGATACGATAAATCTGACGGAAAAAGAAAACGTCCTGATTATACATGTGTCAGGAAAGAGACGCGCAGGTGCTTTTGTATAAAGCGGAGTTCTGGATGGCTGGAGGGTGCCATTTCTGCTGATTCCTGGAAAAGTTTGTCCTATTTACGGACACGACACCATCCAATTGGAACCAGTAGCGGCGGAAAGCCTTCAATTAAGGGGGGGGGGGGGGGGGCACTGCCGACTTTTGGTCCCATTCTGTCCATGCAACGCCCATAGGGCTAATGTTAAAATGGCAAAAGGGGGGGGGGGGGGGCACGGTGCCCCGTTGCCCCACCCCCGTTCCTCCGCCTATGATTAGAACTGATTCCATGTGGTGAAGGGTGTGCTTTTTTCGTCCTAATGACGTCCTGAATGCCTCTTTTGATATCGTTAACACGGTGTAGCTTCTACCGCGATTAGCTATAAAAAAACTAAAACGAGCTGAATGAAGAGAAGGAGTTCTGGACGAGCTGGACGTGACTAGAATGAAACGATATTAACTTTAACGTCACGTAGTAGAAAAAATGACCCGGTTAACTCAATAGGTGTGCTGAATTGTTTATATATTGTGATTTTTTTCTAGAGGAATCCTTTTAGTATGATAAGCCTCATGTTGTTCGTACTTTGAAGTCAGATTAAAAAATGTCTCAAAGAAACACAGCAAATGTAACAAAACAACGTCAGACGGAAAGAGTGATAAGTCTGTTAGTCATAAGACACAGCCGACTATGTCTGCTAATGGTTATGAGGCACGAGTCGTCCGCTTTTATTAGAGGCTATCTTGTTTATGGTTTTACTGAGTTCACCCGATAATGTCGCTTCCCTAAACGACATTCACTACTTTGGAAAGGTTGAGGACTGTAATACATACTTAGGCCTTAGCCATAACCTACACTCCACCCAAGCTTTCGACAAGCGCTTGAACAGCACCCCTGTCGGCAGTGAAGTCGGTGCTCGTGTCCAGCATACCCCGCCGAGCCTCCCCGCACCGTCTCCAACTCTCTGACCCCCCCCCCCCCCTATCGGCAGTATGCCGTACCGGTCGGCACGGCCTTTTTCCTCACGGCCATCACCGCCGCCCAGTACGGCTTTCTGCCCGTGAGGAACCGTCACATCGCCGACGGCGTCGAAGCCATCAACCGGCACCTGCGGGCACTCTCGTGGCCGTCGAAGCGGTACCGGCAGCCGCGGGCGGCGCTGGCCTCTCCGCTGCCGGTCGCCCTGCAGGTGCTGGTCACGGTGAGACACAGACGGGCTGCCGCCGCCCGGGGAGAGGATGCCAGGCACTCATCAGACTGCAGACCGGTCGATGTTCTACCGATCGCTGTCAGGAGATCGGCGGAGCGATTTGCAGGGTGGATTTATGGTCGGTTGTGCTGTTGCTATTGGGGTATAACGGACCACCGATCGTTAAGTTTGTCCTTAATAGCAAAGCGTTGCCTGGCTCGCTGACGGAGTGCACACGCTCTGACAGAAGCCTGGCGATTCGAGATAAAACCACGAAATCAGTGTATAAATCAGTGTTAAGTCAGTGCCAGTGTATAAATCGTACATAATCGATACCAATCGACCCGGTCATTGCCTTCTGACGTATGACACTCTCGGACTCCATCGCTCCACTGTCACTGACCCAACTGACGGGTGGTCCCCTGCGCCCTCTAACAGGCGTTCCGGCATCTGGAGGAGGGCCTGCTGCGACATGACCGGCCCCGAGCGGCACACGGTGTCCGCCGGAGGCTGTAGGTCGCGGAGGAACCGGCTCAGAGGGCGTCAGAGGGCGCACAGCTCGGCGAGCGAGTTAGAGAGTGGCATTTGACTTGTGCTAAACGGGAGTGTTTGGGTGCACTGCCAATTACCGAAATTAGTGTGCATAATAGGCAGCATCAACTTATGCTGTTTGGATGATAATGCTTGTTGTTTATTTTAAATGATCGTGATTATTACGTGACCGGTAATAATGCACGCTGTTGTTGGAATGTTTCCGGTTGGGTGGTAATAACTACTTTGTTTTAGGTATGCTAGTTCTGGACTGGAGGCATTGAATGCTGTTTTGTGTTATTGTTGCTGTACTCTGTTGTCTTTGTCTGACATTTATGCAGCCAAGATTAGGTACATAAACACTTCCTATTGCCTGTTGTTTGTTCAAACGCACGGTGATGAATGACGTACACTCCAGTAAACACACTCCGTTAAGAGTTAGAGTTGATTAGGTCTGGGGAGGTAGCTGACTAATTTATTTCCCTCATTCTTGCTACTGAACACATATAAGAGGTTATACCTATAACTAAAACTTTGTGGAAATAACAAAGACCGAATATGAATCCTCGTAGCATGCACTACTATTTACTTATTGTAGGGGATTTGTTTTGTTGATTGTTTTGTCGAGGCAAATAATGCATACGATCATCGACGGAAAATGACACCAACATCAGTCCCCCAGCCTGAAGCCTGCTCGTTTCGAGTAGTTTGTGCACTGTAGGTGACGGGACCTACCTCACGTCCCACCGCATAGATGTCGCTGGAGACCTTTCTCCTGCGCTCGTCTGTCGTCTCGGCAGTTTTACAGCAGATGCTTCTTAACATCACGCACCTGAGGTTTCCTGTAGCTCAGCACTTGTTACACACCTCACATCTCAGCACCTAGTCGTGTGGTACACTCATCGCACATTTCTGCATGCAGACGTCGGCAACCGCCGCCGAAATGACCTGCACGGTAAGGGCATTGCGTGCCGACCGGACTCGAGCACCTGTGCCGGCTGGTACGTCACAGCTCCGTCTCTGTCTAAAGAGCACCTGGATAAACTTATTGTGTGCACACCTGAGCTGTTTTCCGTTTTTAGATCGCAATATGCAGCGCAACACTCCAATTTCTCGGCTCCCCAAGCTAGACGGACGTCTGCAATGTCGTTGCTAGTACCTACAATTGACGAAGAAGAGAACTGTTTTCATTTACACCATTTATATTGTATATTACAGTACTTATTATATAACACCATGGAACAGCATTCAGGTTTCCAACCCACAGTTGCGCCACGTAGAGGACACGCTGACAAACCAGCGCCCAACAATAGTTCAAACGACGAATCATAAAGTGCAAAAGGCACAAAAACGATCGTGGCGCTTGTATCGGTTTTCTGTTGTGTATAAAAATATTGGGCATAAAATATCGCCCTTCGGTATTCCCTGGAAGGCATCAGTGATTCTCCTAGTTCCACTGTGCGTCTTGAGCTGTTTTCGACGGAACATTGCACATCACGATGCTGTCTAAAGAACATCATACCCAACAAGGTGGCTAAAAAAGGCGATCACGATCGAGGGTCCTGTATGGAATGAATGAGCGAATAGTACACATGATGGAAAGAATGTGGAAGCAGATTCCATTTCGTGAAAGTATAAATGGTCAATACCGACCCTCCCGCACTTAGCGAGTGCTAGGGTTTCGCTTACTCCAATTTCAACCGTCTTATTTAGGCGTAGTCTGCATTCACGCGGTAGAGATTCGAAACATTGTTCATGGGCTCTATATGAGTCCCTAAAATATTGATACAAGGCTGTTTAAAATACACTTCTAAAATGCAGCTAACATTCGCACTGGCTGCAATTCGCTATGACCGATGGGTGACCACAGCACACCAGCCGAGCGAGGTCGTTGCTCCACCAACTTCGGTGACCAACTGCACTAGATGGATCGCATCACGCCCTTAGATACCTAGGCCAGCAACCACGACCTAAGTCATTGAACCAGAATTACGTCACAGGGCTGGCAAAGTAGCACCTAGTTAGGGGCTCAAGCCACCGATCCAGCTCAAATTGCTCTACGGCACCCAGGGAGCCACTCTAGCTGGAAGTCTGGCCAACACATCCTCGCCTTTATAAGTTCTGTGTCATCACGTCCTTCCCTCATCCCCACCCATCACTCCTTCGTGATGGAGAGCGTCTTGCACCGCTTCCTCTCCAGCACCTCGATGGTGAGGTAGCCGATCATACCCAGCGTGAGCACCACCAGCAGGATGTAGATCTTGACGTCGACACACAACATGTCCGAGTAGATGAACGAGATAGCGAACCCGAGCGACTCCCAAAGACGGTAGTTACTGAACGCCGCCTCAGACGTGTGCGGGAAGATGACTCCATAGAAGGCGTTGATCTGGGTCTGCCAGACGGCGTCAGCAATTCCCCAGGCGGCCGCCAGCAGGAAGAAAACATGCGATTCGTCCGGCCGTGGCATCCAGTGGATGAAGGCGATGATGACACCGTAGTTGATGAGCGCGCCGAACACGAAGATCGGGACGCGGCCGATGCGTTTGATGACGAAGCCGAAGCTGAAGGAGCAGATGGCGTCGCACACGCCGTAGGTGATCATCACCAGGCCGACCCGGTGGATGCCCCACGCGCACGACACGTACGCCTGGCGGTATAGGAGGGAGGGGGAGGGGTTAGTGAGCGACATGTTGACTTGAATGTGATGGGGACGACAGACGAGCGAATATGACTAGCAAGCAGGCTTTCCGAAAGTTACCCACATAGAAATGACTTCATTGAGATCTTGATCAGCCATTTGAACGAATCGGTTTAGTGATGTGATGACCAACTGAAATTCGTTCACAGCCGGTGAAACAAAGAGTCAGTTTAGTGCTGTAATGACCAAATTAACTATGGATAAGTTTCTTAATGGACAGTTGAATGTACGAAATACCTAAAACTAAAATTTACAAAACCATCTTAGGACTCTCTCGCATGGATCTGCGGTCATCGCCTATGTGTGTGCCGAGCTCGGCCCTCACACCTACCTTGGTGAAGTCGGCGGTGATGAAGCCCTGCTCGAAGCCGGACCACAGCGTCAGCGGCACGATCAGGATCTGGTAGGGTTTCTTCAGGTGCACAAAGGTGGCCAGCAGCAGCTGCAGGGGGCTCTTCTCACCCTGGTTGTTGGTGCGCTCCTTCTCACCATATCTACGGAAGATAAACCGGTCGTTCATAAAAGTGGCGGTGCAATGGCAATTAGCAATGGAGGTTACTGTACTGTATTCCTATTTATAGACATTATCAGTTGACTCGCTTGCAGGAATGCTTGTAGGAAAAATGCACACATCAGCGCTTGCACAATGGTCATTTGAAGAGCAGGTGCTTCAATCACCATAGTTTATGCTGGGCGATATATTGTCATTACGCTGACATTTCATGCGATGCAGTTGCGCAGTTCAAAATATTTACGACACGAAAATACTTCATACCACAGTAGGTACGTGCTGTGAGTTGTGACAATACTTTGTAATTTACTTCTTTTACATCCCGGTATCCACTAGATAGTCTATTCAACGGCTGATGTCGTGGGGCTGGGGCTTTAAATATATGCACATTGCACATCCCAAGCCGTCTGCATGCTGGCATGTGCACTAGGCATTGTGAAGTCGTCTCGGGGATGTGTGTCAAGGCTGACTTCACAGACACCAGCCGTTAGCAGGAGCCACGGTGTGTTGTGCTACGTGCACTGCCCGTTATGGTCACTCATGTCGCATCACCTGGTCATGGCATATCGCCAAACCAGCCTATCGGATCGATATTAGCCCCAAAATTGTCCCACTGTTTTTCACCTGTCGAGACTGTCGACCAGTATCGAGATGAGCACACTGGAGAGCACGGCCAGCCCGAGGAAGATGCCGGCCAGGGTGTAGATGCGCACCTCGTCCGGCCGCTCCAGATTCGTGTTGTTCACCGCCGAGCCGCCGGCCGACTCCGCCTGTGGAATAGAAGGGGTGGGGGCATTGGTCACGTGACCTCACTGTCGAACCGCCGACAGACTCCGCCTGTGGAATAGGGGGGGGGGGCATTGGTCACGTGATATCACCGCCGAACCGCCGGCCGACTCCGCCTGTGGAATAGAGGGGAAGGGCATTATTGGTCACGTTAGCTTGCAATCTGTGATATCAACTGCAGACCAGAGGCATTCGATAATGAGGAAGGTTGAGGTAGCCCTGAATGCAATGCAGGCTGTTAGCATACCAGGATAATTTTGACAAAAAGATTTTCATTATGTTTTGATTTTTTAAAATACGTTTTTGGATATCAGATTTACAGGAATGGAGATAAAACGCGCAATAGGTATGCATCCTTTGTGATTTACTTTTTATGCTTGAATGAAAGCTTGAATGGAAACAAGCAAAGATTCATATAAGTATTTACCATTGATCTATACCACCTAGCCTGTAGCACGCTCTACACTGCAGGACATAAAGATCCTTCCTGTTGGACTTACGCCGGGGCAGTAGTTGATTCCGCAGATGGAGAGGCTCTCTTCGGACGGCGGCTCGACACCAGCACCCTGGCCGGGATTCAGCACTGAAATAAGCAGAGTCGTTGAACAATTGCCGTGCTTCCTCAGTTTCCAATGCTTCCTCCGCGCTACTTTTGTAACGATGGTAGGATTGCCTTTGGGTACCATTTATACGCGATAAGCATTGCACAATACACACGAGTGTGCTATCTGCGGACTGCGATACGTATTGCCGCTAGGTGCCATCAGAGCACAGAGTTCTTTTCCTTAGGATCTGCTCTTTGTTACAAATGACGGTACAGTTGCAAATGAAGGTAGGTACTAGGTAGTTATATATTTGGCATTTCAGTTTCAGCATGGGACTCGTTCTGGCTTATATAAGAGTTGAGTTAGAATTAATAATGGCTAAACGAGCTAAACATTCCCAACTTTGAAGCATGGGAAATGGGAACCCTTGTCACTTACCCATGGATGAGATGAGGTTCCCCCAGATCTGTGAGGACTGGAACAGCAGGAAGAAGATGCCGAAAAATTTGACGATGATGGGCTCGGAGGCATCTTCGATGATCTCTGCGTATATCTTACCAACCTGTCGGGAAACAGTTGTCGTGTGAGAGTCGAACGAGTTTTGATAATTGATTGCCAAAGTACCTAGTAAAACAATGAGAAGGTGCTTCCTAATCAACTCATCATTATTATGTTGCATAACTGGTCATTACAAACCTGTGTCAAGTAGGTACACTTGGCCGACCACATCGGCGCCGCTCCGAATCCGAGGATGATGGCCGCCGGTATCATGGTGTAAGACCGGGGGTAGAACTGAGCCAGCATGTACAGCGAGTAGCAGAACGTGCAGACCACCATGGCCCACTTGCAGGTCAGCTTCTTGATGACCAGGGAGGGCAGGAACATGCACGACACAATCAGCGCCACGTAGATCGTTGCCAGACTCTTGGTGCCGAGACCTGCGAACAAAAACATAAGAGGTCAGATAACGGGTTAAGTCAGATACGTTGACTTTAGTTATGTGCTTTGGCTGGATATGATTCGACTCCTCCGCTTGTCCGAATCCAAATAAATAATAACTTGTTAGGTCGCAAACGCGCAAGAACCAGGCTTGGTAAGCATAACATTTTAAGACCGTTTTATCGTTCTTGCCCAAGGTTCATGTTGTTCAGATTTACCCCAGTTGAGTGCCCTTGCCTCGACCAAGTTCAGATTTCTTACCCGTTCCTCCCCGTCAAAGTTCACTCACCGGCCTCAGAGTTGATGGAGCTCTGCAGGTTAGACATGCTCTGGAAGGCCGTGAACAGGCACATAAACGAAAACGAGATGGCCACAACATTTTTGATGATGCGCCACCGGTCGGCTCGGGTCAGGTGGCCGGCCCCGGGCGTCTGAGGACCCGATGAGCTCCTCTCTGGGTCAGAGGCGGTGACACTGGTGGTCGAGGAGCTGGCGGTGACCTCCTTGGACGGCAGGTCGCCGTTCTTCTCGCCGATGTAGGACGAGTTGTCGTACTGGAAGTCGTTGCCCTTCCCCATGGTGGCGGGATGAGGGTGTTCCGCCGGTTATAACTCTGGAAGAATTTAGAGAACGGAATTAGAGGTGATGCGCCACGAAACTGCACTTCTTATAACAACCATGTAAGTGAAGGTACTGGGAGCTAGGGGTAGGTCTTCATATAAATGTAGTTTTACTCGTGTCGTCATTATCTGAAGAGTTAAATTGGGATGGATTAGATAGAAGATAGCTGTAAATGGTCAATACGAGTATGCAATTACATCCATTGCATACTGTATAATTACGAGCTGATGATAATAAAGGCTTTTAAAGCCTTGACCACAAAGCTGATAATTTGATTGCTTGCTGGAACCGAAGCCATAACTGTGAACCAATGTAGCATTTGAAATTCATCACAAGTCATCCCTGACGGCCAAGGCTCCTGCTCAACTGCAACCCGACAATCACCATCCGCCCGACCGTAGCAGCTCACAGACGGCACGCACAGCAATCACACTGCAGGGCTGGGGACTATACATAGCTCAGCTGCGTCAAAGGACCTTCACATTCCGGTGGCGAGCGACTGGCAGTCACGTGACCGGACAGGGAGCGGGCTGGAGGGGGTGGGTGGGATGGGGGGAGGGGGTGACCTCTGTCATCGCGCGGGCGCTCATCCGAGGCACACTCCGGCAGTCTCGCTCATTTGTCTACGCCACGGAGTGGAAATTAGAACACCAATTTACGAGTCTGTCTCGTATGTGATGGAGCCTTGCAACTGCTACCATCGAGCTATGTGCTTTAGTTTTCTGTAAGAGAGCTAAGCTGGATGACGCAACAATAGGAACAGAACAATAGGAACAGGCCAACTCAGGATAATAAACCCAACAATTAGCGATTTTTTGTGCTGGCTACCAATAATTCCTTTCTTTGAAAGATATTGTTTATCTAATGAACGATAAAAACTTAACGATTTGAATATTCATCCAAATCGGATTGATTGCGCTCGGCCTTACCAGTTTTGCGTTTTGAAAATAAGTATGGCATTAGTCCACTCAATAATGAAAAGTTTAATTCCTAATTGAACCGTTTGTATTTATGGTAAAAACGTTATGGTATTATGGTCTTAATTGGCAGTGTTGTGAATTATTATTTGTTATTTTTTTTTTTGAAATAACTACTCGAAAACAATATTACCTATGTCTGATTGCGAGGACCAAACCTTTCCAGCCTCAGTGAAACCCTTACATTATACCGATCGGGAAGGCGATGTCACACTTCCATTGTGAGAGCCACGCGCTCTAGTCTACCAGATGTATCTATGTCACACGTGACCGCGCAAATACATCGTGAACCCACGGCGTTCCCGAGCTGGGCTCAAATACTGGCTGAGAAAATTGGGTACCACTGATACCGTTCGTCCGTCCATCTGTTTGTCCGACAGTCCAGTTCGTCCTGGGAGAATGCAACGGCAGCATGGAAACTAGCACCAACTCTAAATAACAGCCGCGTGGCGAGGTGCTTTTCGGTGAATCTCATCGCAAACTTTCGGTGCAGTTTGGAGGTTTGATGTGTAGTCTGGTTGGTTATTCCTGAGACCATCATCACACACGACGGACGACTGAGAGATCCAGTGAGAGCAAAATTAGTGTTCATCGGACATGAACATTGAGCACATACCGCGAAATGGAAAGTCCGCCAGACTGGTCACGCGAGTTTGAATCAGCTGTCGCCAGAGCCGGTTACTCATGTCCGACATGTTCTCTAGTGCCGTGGACGGCTGTAAGAGCGACTGTTCGTGACTGCCAACCCAACACATGTCAGTTAAATGACAACGCCTCTGGAGTCTCAGTCACAAATCACAAACTCACTCCGCCAAAACGGCTCTGCTATTTCGTGGCAGCGAGGATTTCTCTCGCACAGCTGGTACACAGTAAGTACACACATAAGCTTTGAATTCTGATTTTAATGTGTTGTAGCTTATTTTCAGTATCTAGCATAAATGTTCAAACACAACACACTTTCGTATAGCCGGACAAGGGCACCTACTTTGCTAAGCACGGTAACGCGGTACCCGAACCCCCCATTTGAGCGATTCTATTCTCTGTCGCAGACGCTCAGCATCCGATCTTGACGAGCATACCGCTGTCTCGCCGGACGGCGGATCGTTCAATAGCATAGACGGCGCATCGAGCTCAGTGCGTCACATTACATTATGCGCCGAGAACAATGCACTATTAACAGGTCATCTAACAGGGACTTTCCCTACCGAGATGAGGCCAACGGATTCGCTGTGTGCTCAAATTTGTGATTGGAGGTCGGTTATAGCTTTACCAGCAATGTTGATTTTGCAACAAGTCAAAACCGCTGTGCATTTTGCAACATTTCTACTGACTAACAATGTCTAATCGGCGACATAACTAACACTTGCCACCACAGAGTCACAAACTCGCAGGGTCACGAATCTAGCATTCGGGGAGGCGAAAACAAACCCTCTAGAGTACAATTGTGTCCTTACAACAGTGACCAAGCTCGTCCAAGCGTCAATGGACATTGGACAATGGGGGGGGGGGGGGGGTCGCATTCCATGGCACCAATGTGGTTTCCTGCAACTGCGCCTTCGGCCGAAACGCCGTGTCACGTAATGTTACGCCTTAGTATGTCAGCAACTAACACTAGCATTGACCGTCAGGGGATTGGCTGTGACTGTGACATCCAGTCAGCTTTGTCACCCTCATCAACACTTCATTTTCTGTTCGGAGACGTTATTCGTGTAATGTTTTGTTCGTCTGAATGGAATCTGTTCGGTCTGCCAGTACTTCACCTTCTGAAGGACAGATGCTCATGGCTCAACCATCTGATCAATAGACACACGAGGAGAGTGTCCGGCTGTGTCGTCTGGTCGCCTTGACACACTCCGATCGCATCCCCGCGCAACCTGACCTTTCACAGCAGTCCACCTCTCTCGGTCCGTCCCTCTCAGTCACTATCGACAAGACCCCATCTCTTCTTTTGCAAACACTAACGCTCCTCAAGATTCCTTCCGTCTATTCCGGCTCCCATCAGTAAATTTATGTTATTCTTTGCTCCTCATGATACTCTTAGATGTCCCACGCTCCTCTCGGCTCCTCAATGGTCCTTCCAGCACTCTCTCCAGCTCCGTTTGATCAGTGGCGGATCCAGGGGGGGGGGCAAAATGGGCATTTGCCCCCCCCAAACGGCATAATTTTAACATTACGCCTATGGACGATGCATGGAAAGAATCGATAAATTGTTATGGTTTGCCCCCCCCCCCAAAAAAAAAACTATGAGCTGGATCAGCCTCTGCTTTTGATCCTTCCGGCCCATCCTGACCTCTCCTGGCCCGCTGTCCACCGTTTTCCGTCTGGCCGTCTGGCCATCCGTCCGTCCGTCCGTCTCCGTCTGTCCGTCCGTCGACCTGTGCCCTCCGGGCGTCACTGACACACCGGTGACCTCCATAGGACCGCTATCATTACACCGAGCGGCGACCGACCCCAACCCTGCCGCACGGTGGCACAACACCCCGTCCCGCGCAGGGGGGCCATTTCGCAACGCACCCCGGGGCCGGTGCCGCGCGAGATAGGGCGCTAATATGAACGGAGAAAAACTTCGCCAGCGCGGGCTGTCGACCGGCCGGCCGCCGGCTAGTGAAAGTGCGCCATTGAGGGGCCCGCTCGGGCATTCAGACGTGCCGCCAGCGGCGGGGGCGGGGTCAATTCTCCTGTCCGAGGGAGCCCTCCGATGGAGTTAGGCCCGGGCAGCGCTTATCGAACAGCACTGCGGATCCGAAGGTTGGGACTTTAATTGTGAAAAACCGCCCGCCCGCCGCAAAACGCAAACACCGCAAAACGCGCAAAACGCACGCCGAAAGCGCCAACGCAAACTTCGCAAAAAAACAATCGCACGCCCGCCGAAAACCGCAGAAAAAACGCACAAAATGCCGCAAAAAAACGCGCGTCCGCCGCAAAACACAAACACCGCAAAAACGCAAACACCGCCGCCGCAAAAAAAACGCCCGCATCGCCCGCCGCCGACCGCGAAACGCCGCAAAAAACGGCCGCACGCCGCGAACCGCAAAACGCCGCAAAAACGGCCGCCCGCCGCAAACCACTAAACGCCGCAAAAAACGACCGCCCGCCGCTAACCGCAAATAACGGCCGGCCGCCGGCAACCGCAAAACGCCGTGAAAAACGGCCGCCCACCGCAAACCACAAAACGCCGCAAAAAACGGCCGCCCGCCGCAAACCGCAAAACGCCGCAAAAAACGGTCGCCCGCCGCAAACCGCCGCTAAAACGGCCGCCCGCCGCCAAACGCAAACAGCAAAAACACCCGCATCGCCCGCCCGCCCGCCGCCAAACACAAAAACCACAAAAAACGCAAACACTGCCGCAAAAAACGCCCGCAACGCACGCACGCCCGCCGCCAACCGCAAAACGCCGCAAAAAACGACCTCCCGCCGCCAAACGCAACCACCGCCAAAAACGCAAAAACGGCCGCCCGCCGTCAAACGCAAACACCGAAAAAAACGCAAACACCGCCGCAAAAAAACGCCCGCCGTAGGCAAAACGCAAACACTGACGCATTAAGACAAATATGGCGCCATGCGGCAAATGTGGTGCATTCATATCTGCCGTTTAAGCAGCCATCCCTTAATTACAGCGCATCATAATCGTCCAATGTTCGACAAGGTTACGCACATTCTGCGCTTTGCGGCAAAAATGGCGCTTTGAGACAAACGTGGCGCACTGCAACAAACATGGCGCATTCGTTCATGTCGCTTAACAATTCATCCACCCACCAAATTCTAGCCCAATCGGACTTCAACTTACAAAGTTATGTACATTTGAACATTTCACTATAAAATATCTCCGCAACGGAGGTGCCCAGATTTGCACGTGTGCCACGTGACCACTGGTGGTGCAAGCAGGACTTGTCCCCTCACTGATTGCACCATTTCAGTGTTCCTGGCTTGTGCTGTTTTCGTGCTATAAGGCCACAAGTCGGCAAACACACGATAATCTGGGAGGTACGCGACTCAAACACGTGGCCACGTGGCA